AAGCAAACAGTAATCAAGTGTAGGTTGGTGATTTTGTTAGTCTTCCTTGGAATGAGATTGATCAATGACTTTGTGTTTCTCTGAGGCAGGTTCTTAAGATCAAGGGCTCTGTCTTACTCCTCCTGAGACCCCAGTACCAGGCACAGTGATTTACACATAGTAAGTGATCATTGATACTGCAGACTGGAATTCCACTTCCAATTTTTTTTTTTTTTTTTAATTTAGGGTTTGCCACTAGAGGGACTTGGTCAGCTCTTGTCCCCTTGTTATTTTACCTTCAATAATATCTTGTTAATTTGTTAAAAACTTTATTCTAAAACTTGTTTTGGAAATTCGACTAGTCAGGTAGTGGCAGGGGAAAAATTAAAAACAACTATTTTTAATACTTCTATGTGACTCATTCATACTTCCTGATCAAAACATTTATCCACAGAGATATTAAGTAGACTTTTTTGGGCAGGTATTCAGAAACACAGGAAATGAACAATCAAAAGCAGATCTTTGAAATGAACATATATAAATGACAGAAATATAACCTAGGTTTTATTAGTCAAAATTTAGTGATGAACTAATACAAAACCTATCCTGTTTCTTAAGCAATTTTTTTTTTTTTTAAGATTTTATTTATTTATTTGACAGAGAGAGACACAGCGAGAGAGGGAATACAAGCTGGGGGAGTGGGAGAGGGAGAAGCAGGCTTCCCACTGAGCAGGGAGCCCTACGCTGGGACCTGAGCCAAAGGCAGATGCTTAACAACTGAGCCACCCAGGCGCCCGTAAGCAAATTTTACTTATCAACCACATTGCTTACTAAGCAAGTATTTAACAAAAATATGCTAGTCATTATATTAAAACTGTGAAGCTACTTTCTTAACCATAATTTTTTTGACATCAGGAAGTAGCACTAGGCATGGAATATTCTACTCTCTTACTCAGTTTATCTAAGGCAAGGCTCTGAACAGGGCCCCCAAACAGTTATTTTCAGACTCTTGAGATGGACACTTCAAAATTCCTCAATCACCTAACTCATCTGTTGTACCTAATCATTTTCTCAGCCTCATTTATAACCTCATTCATAACTACAGCAGGAGACCAATGAACTTTTTTTTACGGCACCGAACTCTTATATTCACTATTTTCTTTCTCCAAATACTGAATTCTGCCTCCCTCTGGTACTCAGGGATTTTTTTTTTTCTACCCTAAATGCCATCTTCTCTCTTGCTATATATGCCACTTTTCCTGACTCATTGCAGTATCATTGTCTTCTCTGAAAACTGCTCTGGCCTGTAATGATCTCTTTCTCCACATTTCCATAACTACCACTGCTCTTTTCCCTTAGCTCTCACTTTTCTCTTCTGGCATAGAGAGGGACAGGAGCTACTGCCTACATGTCAGACAATGACTGGGGGCAAGGGAGCTGGCTGGGGGGAGTAAGGTGAAGTATATATAGTTAAAAACAAAAAACAAAACCTTAAGCCAATTTGATGTGCTTATGTGTTTTTCACTTTTTTAAATTGTGAAAATACAGCCAGTACCTAAGTGTTCATCACAGAATTTTTGTTGTGTGCTTTATATAAAGGACATCTTCCAATTGACAAGAGTCATTTCATGTTGAAACAATGTGTTCAATTAGGTACTCAGGATTTGGAAACACTGTATATGTAGTGATTAAGTCACAAGGCCAGCTTCAATAGCTTCTATTACCCAGAATGTACAGAGGGAGATTGTTGTTAGTATTCTATAAAATCCAGTCATGATACATACCTGTGTATCTGTGAGATTGCATTCACAATCCCAGTGTGTGTGTGTGTATGGTGGGGGAGCACTTGAAGGTGCCAAAAGCACTACTCTCTTGCTGCAGTGGTAAGGTTCTCCCTTTCATCATACATGTGGTCAAAGCTGTTCATTGAAGCATAGTTTATTGTAATTAAAGACTAGGGACTGCTTAAAGAAAGATAAGAGATCCACATATATTGTCATATATAAAACAATACTATACTACTGAAGGAATGAAGTAGATCTGCATAACAGTGAAACAGTCTCCGTGAGAGATTAAGGGGAAACATCACAATGCAGAGCAATAGGCCACTACCATTTTTATAAATTAAGACACCTGCATATTCACATATACTCATACATGCATGGTCTGTCTCTGCAAAGGATACATAGGTCTGCTGAGGTACTAGTAAATCAAGGGTAGGAGAGGAACTTATTTTGCACTGTTTTCTTACTGGCACTGTTTACATTTTTCTTACTACATGCATATGAATGCTACTTTTTAAAAAATGCCACATTTCTTTAGTATCTTGTGCTGCACTGAAAAGTAGGATAGCAACTTTTGAGGCAGCATTGCTTTGAAATTCCCACTTCTCTTTTACTTCTCTTCCCCCATTCCTCACTGTTGCAAACTGAATATTTGTTTGGTTTGTAGCTTGGGACAGTAGTGGAAGGAACATCAGCTTTGCAGGCAGATCAGACCTGTGTCTACAGCTTATTGGCTTTTATGATTTGGGTTATGTTCTTTAACCTTTCAGAATCCTAATTTTCTCATGTAGGCTGGTCAGAATGAGAATATGTATAGCTCAGAAAATAAGAAATGTACTTAAATAAGAATATGTACTTAATGAGCTATGTAATGATTGGCATATAACAGGAACCCTATAAATGATAATTATTTCTATTTTAATTGGATAACTAAGGGACTTGTTCAAATTTTTAAATACCTGTTTTCCTAACTCTACTGAAATTGGATCATTAACATTTGTATTTACCCTGGCATTCTTCTGGGGAATATACCTAATTTTGAGTATCTTCTTGGCTCCTAGAATATTTTTTTAGTGAAATAGCTCATTTTCCCTTTTTAATCCTGTCTTTTGTTTTTTTAATTTTTAATTTCAATTCAATTTAATTAACATATAGTTTATTATTAGTTTCAGAGGTAGAATTTAGTGATTCATCAGTTGCCTCTAACAACCAGTGCTCATTCCATCAAGTGTCCTCCTTAAAGACCAACACCCAGTTACTCCATCCTCCCCTCCATCAACCCTGTTTGTTTCCTATGGTTAAGAGTCTCTTATAGTTTGTCTCCCTCTCCGATTATGTCTTATTTTATTTTTCCCTCCCTCCTCCATGCTCCTCTGTTTTGTTTCTTAAATTCTAAGTATGAATGAAATCATATGATAATTGTCTTTCTCTGATTGACTTACTTCATTTAGCAAAATACCTTCTAGTTCCATCCATGTCTGTGTATATATATATATATATATATACCCACAATGTGTATATATATATACACACACACACATCACACACATACATCACATCTTATGTATATGTGTATATATATTGTTTATCCATTCATCTGTCGATAGACATCTGGGCTCTTTCCATAGTTTGGCTATTGTGGACATTGCTGCTATAAATATTGGGGTGCATGTGCCCCTTTGAATCACTATGTTTGTATCCTTTGGATAAATACCTAGTAGTGTAATTGCTGGGTCATAAGGTACCTCTGTTTGTAGCTTTTTGAGGAACCTCCATACTGTTTTTCAGAGTGGCTGCACCAGTTTGCATTCCCACCAATGGTATAAGAGGGTTCCCCTTTCTCTGCATCCTCGCCAACATCTGGTGTTTTCTCAGTTGTTCATTTTAGCCATTCTGACTGGTGTGAGGTGGTATTTCACACCTGTCAGGTGGTTTTGATTTATATTTTCCTGATGCTGAGTGATGTGGAGCATTTTTTCATGTGTCTGTTGGCCATTTTTATGTCTTCTTTGGAGAAATGTCTGTTCATGTCTAATGCCCGTTTCCTGACTGGATTTTTTGGTTTTTTTGGGTGTTGAGTTTGATAAGTTCTTTAATGGATCTTGTATACTAGCCCTTTATCTGATAAGACATTTGCAAATATCTTCTCCCATTCCATAGGTTACCTTTTAGTTTTTTTTTTTTTTTTTAAGATTTTTATTTATTTATTTATTTATTTGAGAGAGAGAGCACATGAGAGGGGGGAGGGTCAGAGGGAGAAGCAGACTCCCTGCCGAGCAGGGAGCCCGATGTGGGACTCGATCCAGGGACTCCAGGATCATGACCTGAGCCGAAGGCAGTCGCTTAACCAACTGAGCCACCCAGGCGCCCACCTTTTAGTTTTGTCAACTGTTTCCTTTGCTATGCAAAAGCTTTTTATCTTGATGAAGTTCCAGTAGTTTATTTTTGCTTTGTTTCCCTTGGCTTTGAAGACATGTCTAATAAGAAGTTGGTGTGGCTTAGGTCAAAGAGATTGCTGCCTGTGTTCTCCTCTAGGATTTTGATGGGTTCATGTCTCAAATTTAGGTTTTTCATCCATTTTGAGTTTATTTTTGTGTATGTTGTAAGAAAATGGTCCAGTTTCATTCTTTTGCATGTCATGGTCTAATTTTCCCAACACCATTTGTTGAAGAGACTGTCTTTTATCCATTGGATATTCTTTCCTGCCTTGTTGAAGATTAGTTGACTACAGAGTTGAGGGTCCATTTCTGGGTTCTCTGTTGTGTTCCATTGATCTCTGTGTCTGTTTTTATGCCAGTACCATACCTTCTTGATGATTACAGCTTTGTAATATGGCTTGAAGTGTGGAACTCTGATGCCTCCAGCTTCGGTTTTCTTTTTCAACATTCCTTTGGCTATCCGGGGTCTTTTCTGGTTCCCACTGTAAAGTCTTCTAAATAAAAGTAATGTTCTTTGTCTTCCTGGATGTAAATGGGAGTTTACTCTTTTATAGAATTTTTGAATATTTGGGTAAGTATGTTGATTGTAAATTATATGTTGAATATTATATATTATTTACTTTTGCATATATTTATCCAGCAGGAAAACCATGTTTTAAGCATGAGTCAGTTGTATAGATTGCAAGTCAAAACTTGGTGATAATGATAATATTAGAATTCCTCTTTAACATAGATATGTTATTTAGATATAAGGTTTTCTGGAGTAATATCTGTTTTATTTATTTTTTTTCTTTTTCAGCTCTATCAGTCTCACATGCCAACAAAAACAACTTGTCTGTCCTCACAAGTATCTGATGATGAACAGAAAGTGAGTATATCTTTTAAATAGATCCATATTGTACTCTGCATACCTCTCGGATTTCAAAGTAACTACTCAGAGACCTGAAAGACTTTTGTTTGTACCTTGAATATAAATTAACTTTTATGTTGATTGAAATTAAAAATCAATAATGGATTGAATAATTATTGAGTGTTTTCAGTGTCTCTTTCTTATGGGACCATGAAGCAAATTAAAACTCTTAACTGCTTCCACAGCATTCAGTAGGAAGACTAGCACTGCTTTTGCTGGGCATACTTGCAGAACTTGGTGGATGGAGAGAACTCCTTTAATGACAGAGTGTAGAAAGTCGCTGGATGGCCCTGTCAGATGCCTTCCTGAGTGCGAGATCAGCCCTTAAAGGTTCTTCTAAGTGTGCCTGCATAGGAGAGATGTGTTTTGGTAATTCATACTAAAATTTATATTTAAAAACAGGAGTAAATTTAACTTGGTGAAAGGTGAGTTAATGATTCTTTAAGTAGAAAATCTCAAATACAGGTTAAGCATCTGCCTTGGCTCAGGTCATGATCCCAGGGTCCTGAGACTGAGCCCTGCATTGGGCTCCCTGCTCAGCGGAGAGCCTGCTTTTCTCTCTCCCTCTGCTGCTCCCGCTGCTTGTGCTCTCTCTCTCTCTGTCAAATAAATAAATAAAATCTTAAAAAAAAAAAAAAAATCGCAAATACAAGCATGGATAATTCAATAAGATTAAATGATTTTCTTAGTTTTGTGCTCATTAAGCCTCTTCTTGTTTTTCCCTCTTCCTTCACACATGCTAAAGGCTCCATGGTTTTGATAAATTGTAGTTTGACCACCAAACTACCATCCTTTTTATCTTTTTTTCACTCTTTGGTAATAATAGTCTGCCCCATCTTTATTTTATCACCTTGCAGACCTTTGGAATTACTCTTTATCTGCTTTCTAACACATTGCTCTGCTGAAACTGCTGTCACAGTCACTAATACTTTAGTGACTAATCCACTGAATGGTCATTGCTTAATCCTCATTTTCTCTGGCCCCTCTTCTTCATTTTTGAAAAGCTTCTTTTAACATGACCCTAAAATCTTATAGCTTTAGAACTAGAAGGGATTCTATAGATCATTTAGTTCGACTTTTATCTGATAAGCATGTGCTTATCAGATAAAAACTAACAAGTATTACTCTAATCTTCTTGAATACTTTCATGACTGGGAAGCATGGTGTTTCTTCTCTCTTAATAATAAAGACAACATACTTACATGACTAAAAGGTATTCAAAAGGTAGAAAAGAGAAGAATATAGTGTACTAGTTTTCTATTGCCCTGTAACAAATTGACAGAATTTAGCTTCTTAAAATAACACCTATTTATTGGCTTATTGTTTTGTAGGTTAGAAAGTCAGGCCAGCACAGCTGGCTTCTCTGCTCAGGGTCTCACTCAGGATCTTGGCTGGCTAGGTTCTTATCTGAGGCTCCTCTTCCAAATTCTTTCAGGCTGTTGGCAGGATTCAGTTTCTTGATGGCTGGTTGCTATCAGCTCCTAGAGAACATTCTTATGTCCTTGCGCTATAGCTCTCTGTCATCCATACAAGAGGGGAGAACCCAAATGTCAAATCCCTTTCAGATTTCAAATCTCTTTCACCTGGAAGCTCCCAGTCCTTTTTAAGGGCTCACCTGATTAGGTCAGGCCCACCCAGGATAATCTCCCTTTCTCAGGTTAACTGATTTGTGACCTTAATTACATCTACACAATCCCTTCATAGTAGCACCTAGATTAGTGTTTGATCAAAAAAAATAGAAAGTGTGGGTACACGAGGGACCATCAATCTTGGGGTCCATGTTAGGATTTTACCCACCATATATAGTAAAAAGTGAATCTCCTCTACCTCCCAGACCACTCCCTCCAAGTCCATTTCCCAGTATAACCACTCTCAATAGTCTGTCACTACCCTTTGAAAGATTTTTATCCATATTCATATATATGAGAATATATGAAAAAATATACTTTTATTTTTTTAGTCAAATCACAGTAAATACATCACTTAGTTTTTGAGACTTACCCATATTGTGGCATATATCAGTAGTTTAGTATTCCATTGTATGGATATACTACATTTTATTTCTCCATTCACCAATTGTTGGATATTTGGGTTGTTTCTGGTTTTTAACTATTTGGACTAAAGCTGCCAAGAACATTCATGTGTATTTTTATTTATCTTGGGTATCTACAGGTAGAGTTTTTTGGTTGTATAATAATGTGTATTTAACTTTATAAGAAACTGCCCACCTGTTATCCAAAGTGGCTTTCCAAAGCATTTTGCTTTCACACCAGCAAATGTATCAGCCTTTTAAATTTTTAAATTTTAGCCATTTTGGTGGGTGTTCAGTGATATCTTACTGTAGTTTTTTTTTTTTTAAGATTTTATTTATTTTTGAGAAACAGAGAGAGAGAATGGGTGAGAGCATGGTGGGGGCAGAGGGAGAAGCAGACTCCCCATTGAGCAGGGAGCCCAATGTGGGGCTCGATCCCAGGACCCTGGGATCATGACCCGAGCTGAAGGCAGACGCTTAACTGACTGAGCCACCCAGGCACCCATCTTACTGTAGTTTTAATTCACATTTCCCTAATAACCAGTACTGTTGAGTACTCTCTCATTTGCTCACTGGCTATTTTGTTATCTTCTTTGTGAAGTTCTATTTGAGTCTTTACCCATTTTTTTAAAAACTGGATTGTTATTACTAAATCATTTGAATTCTTCATGTATTCTGAATATAAGTGCTTTGTCATGTATATATGTCAAACATATAATATTTTCTTTTAATCTGTTTTACATATTCCTTGATGATCACAAGTTTTTAATTTTGATGAAGCAGACAAATATAGGTAATTTGATTGTCACAGTACCACACTTCCTGGCGATTGTAGCTTTACCATTGGGTAGTGTAAGTCCTTCAACTTTGTTCTTTTGCATAATTGTTGTAGTTGTTCTTAATCACCTACATTTCCATACAGATTTTAGAACCAGATTGTCAGTTACTATATTGATAGCATAGAGATGAGTCTTGCTCTTTTATCCAGTCTGACGATTTCCTTCTTTTAACTGAAATGTTTAGACATTCATTGTCCAGAATGGTAGCCACTAGCCACATGAGGCTATTTAAATTTAAATCAGTTAAATAAAATTTAAAAATCAGTTCCTCAGTTGGATTAGTCACATTTGAAGTCCTCAGTATCTGAATGTGGCTGGCTAGTGGGTTCCTGTTGCACAGCTCAGATGTAGAACACTTCTACCATCATAGGAAGTTCTGTTGGATATCACTGGTTTAGACCATTTACATTTAATTTAATTATAGATTTGGCTAGGTTTAAGTCTGCCTGTTTGCTGCTATTTTCTTTGTCCCATTTGTTCTTTCATTTTTCTTTTTTCTATGCCTTTTAGATTAATATTTTTATGATTGCATTTCACCTTAACTATTGACTTATTGGCTATATCTCTTTGGTCTTTTATTTTCTTAAAATAGTAATTGGTGTAGGCTTTAATTTATCACACATATTTTCAAACAGTATTATAATACTTCATGTATAGTATAGAAACCTTACAACAGTAGCTCTTCATTTCCTTTCCCATGTGTTGTGCTGTCACTGTCATACATTCTGCTTCTCTGTGATTACAAATTCTGCAATACATTGTTGTTATTGCTTTAAACAATCATATTTTCAAGAAATTAAAACTAACAAAAAAATTCTCTTACAATTACCCACATTTCTACCTTTCTGGCAATTTTTATTTCTTTTTGTAGATATGATGTCATTTCCCTTTCTCTTGAATAACTTTTAACATTTCTTATAGTATAGGTCTGCTCTTAGTGAATTATGTCAGTTTTGTTTTTTTTTTTTTGTCTGAAGATGTCTTTCTTTGGCTTTCATTTATGAACGATATTTTCATTGGATATAGAATTCTAGGTTGTCATTTTTTTTCTTTTGCATTTTATTGATGTTCTGTTGTCTTACGCTTTGCGTTGTTGTTTATGAGAAACCCGTAGTCATTTTATATGTTTCACTAGTGTGTAGTATGTCTCCCCACATTTGGTTGCTCATAAAGTTTTTCTTTATCTGTGTTTTGAAACATTTTGTTCTAATGTGCCTAGTTGTGGGTTGCTCTGGATTTTTCCTGTTTGTAGTTTGCTAAAATTCTTGGATCTCTTAGTTCATGTTTAGAAAATTGGAAAATTTTTGGTCACTATCACTTGGATATTTCCTTCCCTCCCCCAGTCTCTCCCCATCTTTTCTATATGGCATTCCAGTTACAGGTAATGTAAGACCATTTGATATTGTCCCACAGTTTTTTTGGACTCTATTAGTTTTATCTTTTCTATAAGAGATTGGCTTGGATTGATAAAGATCTTTAACTTGGATATAACTATTGAACAAGTCTTTCCTTTCATTGTTTGATCTGCTGTTAATTCTGTTCAATATGTTTTTTATTTCAGATGTTGCATTTTTCCTTCTAGGAATTCCATTTGTTGCCTTTTGTTGTTGAGAGCTTTCATATCTCACTTCTAATTCGCCACATATTATACCTATCTCCTTTTTCTGTAGAAAAAGAGGATATTTTTTCTTCTTCAGCATATTTATCATAGTTATTTTAAAGTTCTTATCAGCTGATTCAATATCTGGTTAATTTGTGGATCTTTTTCTGTTGACTTTTTCCCCTGACCGTGAATCACATTTTTCTGCTTCTTCTTCTGTAGTAATTTTTTATTGTATAGTAGATGTTGTGGATGATACATCATAGCAGTGCTGGATTCTGGTTTCTTCTTCTGAAGAGTGTTGACCTTGGTTCTAGCAGGCAGTAAATTACCAGCTTCTTGCATTGTTCATGTTGAGCCTTGGTTATACACTTTGTTAGGGCAGGTCTATTTCATTTGTGTGCTAGGGAACATTTCTGATTCCTGGGATGTGATCCTTACTCCTAAAATGTCCATAAAGGTTTTTGGTGGAAAGCCTGAAATGTTTATTAAGCCCCTTTAACTTACAGAGTTAAAATTCAAGCTTCCCAGGATGGCATTCTTGAAAACTCTACATAGTTCCTTCCAATTTCCATTTCCCCCTTGCTAGGCTCTTTGTGTTCCCCCTCTTCTTGTGCAGTTCAGCAGTCAGCCAGAGATTTGAGGGGAGTGCACTTGCAGATTTTGGACTCCCTCCTTTCTGTAATTTTCTTCTTCAATTTTCAGCTGATCTACCTGCCCTTATTTTCAACTTCTCAACCCAGTAAGACTACCACTTCCATCCTGAGGTCTGTCTTTGAGCAGCAGTGACTGGGGTATGCCCTCAGAAAGACCTAGAAAATGTGCATCTCACTTTACATGGTTCCTACTCCCAAGAGACCTCCAGTGTCTGTTGGCCTTTGGTTGCACTCCATTGACTTGGAAGAATAGATTATAATTGTTATTAGCAGCTGACATAAGTTACTCTGCCATTACTGGGAGCTGAAACTGTAATTTTGTATTGTACTTTTTTCATGTGACATTTTAATGTAAAATTTAAGTTACTAAATACTTATCATAAACATCTGTAATAACTTTAAACATTCCATTTCGTGAATGACTGCCATAGTTTACATGAGTATTTTCCTAATTTTTGGAAATCAAGTATTTGAATGAAGAGAATAAGAAATGTGTATGTGTTTTCAGGGTCTGGAAACAGGTTTCTCACAAATTTACTTAATATAGTTGTATCTTGGTGAAGGTCTAATGATCATAAAATCTTTAGTTTCTTTGGTAAAGTATATTTATCCTTTCAAATGTGCCTACATCCTATTTTAGTAAGTTTTTTGTTTTTAATTTTAATTAAAAATTTTAATTTAATTTAAAACAATTTTAATTAATTGTTTTAAATTATTGCCATTGTCTTTGTTTTCCTTTAGCAAAAAAAAGAAAATATTCGTTCTTTAACTATGTCTGGCCATGTTGGTTTTGAGAGTTTGCCTGATCAGCTGGTCAATAGATCCATTCAGCAAGGCTTCTGTTTTAATATTCTCTGTGTGGGTAAGTGCCAAACTCTTCCTCTAAATTATTCCTTGTGTTCTCTTCACTCCTGGAAGCAGTATGATGCTCATGTTATTAATTTGAGATCATGATTGCAGATTTTTTTCAGTTACTTAAATTCTGTGAGTTTTGTTTTTCTTAGCTGTACTGCTTTAAACTTTTTTGTTCTTTAAACATTTCAGTGCTTTCTTCAGAGTTCTGAGTAACTTAGCATACATACTCACTTTTATGTTCTGCTAATGACTCAGTGGATCAGCCTTAACTTGTATATCTTTCATAGACAACTCGGCATTTGGAATGTTTGAGATATTTGGGATCCTTGAAACCAGTCTAAGAGTTCTAGTTTTTTCTCATTTGTCCTCTGCACCTGTGAAGATGTACCTTTGTTTCTTTCAGGGGAGACTGGAATTGGAAAATCAACGCTGATTGACACATTGTTTAACACTAATTTTGAAGACCATGGATCCTCACATTTTTACCCACATGTTAGACTTAAAGCCCAGACATATGAACTCCATGAAAGTAATGTTCGATTGAAATTGACCATTGTGAATACAGTAGGATTTGGTGACCAAATAAACAAAGAAGAGAGGTACATGTTTTCTTATTGTAATTGTTTTATTTCAAGACAGTTGTCTTGTCCCATAAGCCATGATTTGGTTTTCTACTCTGGAAATTCATACCTTTTCTTCCCAGACTTTAACTTTTTTTAAATAAATCAGCAGTATTTTATTCTTAACAAATTGACATTTTTCTATCCAGTTGTCTTAAATTTTTTTTAGCATAATTTGACTCACATTATTGAAATGTGTACTTTGACAGAAATTGTTTTAATTATTTCCTCACATGCCAGTTTGGTGTATAATAAGTGATTTGTTCTAATTTTGAGGCAGGACTTACTTTGTTGAGGGGAAAAAAGTAAGAGATACAATGGCAAATACATAATGGCCAAATCCATGGTGCATGAATTTTTCTGTGTGTGAAATTCTGAGCAAATCAGCCAGGTCCATTATTAAGCATTACAGGAAAAGTTTGATAGTGAAATTGTTACTTATATTTTATATTATGTCATTCTTTCTCCTATGGTATTACAAAGAATGATTATAGACTGTATGAAATTTAAAATATGAAACAGGGAAATAGTTTGGGGTTAAGCAATAACTTCTTTTTCCTTATTGAAATTCATATATTTTCATTGTTAGAGGTAATTTTTTAATTTCCTAAAGTTTGCTTTAGAGGGGAAATAGTTTGCATAATTGATTCCCTTTATGTGACTTAACGTTGGCCTTTCAGCACATTTATGTGGACTTTCGAAGAAGCAGATTAGTGGTAGAGTCAAAGGCCTGTGACATGTTGCTTTAAATCTTCATAATTTCCTTATAGTTTTCAATGTAGTGATCTTATACAGCTTTACTTAAATTTATTATTAGATATTTGGTGTATTTGATGCTCTCATAGATGATATCTTTTAGAAATACTTCATTTTCTATTTGGTGTATAGAAATAGAATTGATTTTGCATACAGTGACTTTTGTAAATTCTCTGATTAATTCCAGCAATTCATCTCTAAATTTGTGTAGATTTTCTATGTATGTATAATAGTGTAATCTATGAATAATGACATTTATATATTTTTTTCAGTTCTTTTGTTTCTTTTAAAATAAGTTTTATTGGGGCGCCTGGATGGCTCAGTCATTAAGCGTCTGCCTTCGGCTCAGATCATGATCCCAGGGTCCTGGGATCAAGCCCTGCATTGGGCTCCCTGCTCGGTGGGAAGCCTGCTTCTCCCTCTCCCACTCCCCCTGCTTGTATTCCCTCTTTCGCTGTGTCTCTCTCTGTCAAATAAATAAATAAAATCTTGTAAAAAAATAAATAAGTTTTATTGATGTATAATTTACACAGAATAAAATGCACTTTTTTTTTTAAGTGTACAATTCAGTTAATTTTGACAGATACATAGTTTTGTAACTACCACCATGATTATAACATAGGAAATATCCATAGTCTTGGGTTCTTTCCTCACATGTAAATGCAGATTAGTGCTTCACCACAGACTGGAGGGAAACGCTGTCTGTCTAGATCATTAGTACTTCTGTTGGTGCAGCTGCCTTCTATTCAGTGTTCTTGCCTACAAATTCTAGTTGCCTTGGCCTCCTTGAACTCCTGTTTCTGTCTCCTCAACTTGGTGAGTCCGCCAGGCTCTGTGCTCTTTTGTGCTGTGCCCTGGAAACTTGTCTTCAGGCAGTAAGCTGGGAGAATCATAAAGCTTTCCTCACTTATTTCCCTTCTCAGTGAACACAGTTTTATACTGCGTGTTGTCCAATGTCTGAAAGCCTTTTTCGTGTATTTTATCCAAGTTTCTAGTTGTTCATAGTGGGAGAGTAAATCCAGTCCCGGTTACTTCATTATGGCTGAAGACAGTTTTAATTTTTCTTTCTTCCATTTTTAAAACCTGACTGCACTGGGTAGGACTTAGAGTATTATGTTGGATAGTCAGTGGTATTAGTGGGTATCTTTGCCATGTCGTGATGCAAAAGGAAAGCTTTATTTTTACCATTTATTATGCTTGCTTGCTTTTTTTTTTAAGTTGGAATGAGGAAGTTCCATTGTATTACTAGTAGAGTTTTGTACATTTTCTTCTTTAATCTTTAATAAGATGAATTTTAGTAACTGATTTTTCATTGGTAAATTAGCCTTCAATCTTGAATATCATTCTTTTTATATTATGCATAAAATTAGAGTTATTTTTCCCTGAAGTGATTGGTGGAACTCACTAATAAAACCATCTCAGTCTGGAGTTTTCTGAGGTTTTTAATTACTAACTAATGTTCTTTAATGATTATAGGCCAATTTAGAGTAGTTTCTAGAGACAGTTGGAATACTACAGTGTTCCAAGAATCTGTCCATTTCATCCAATTTTCAAAGATATTTACTTAAAATATTTGATAATATATTCCTAGTATCTTTTTATTGTTTACATCATCTGTGATGATATCTGCATTTCCTTTTCTGATTCTGGTTATTTGTGCTCGTTTTCCTTTGATCAGTCTCAACAAAGCTGTGTTGGTCTGTTTTTTTTCAAAATTTGGCTTTACTATTTGTCCTCTCAATTTTATATTGTTTTTTTTCCAACTTATTTCTGCTCTTACACCTATAATTACCTGTCTTTGGGTTTTGATCTAATTTGCTCTAATTTCTCATTGATTCTCAGCCTTATGCATTACTTACTGATGTTTGTTTTTTTCCTTTGGTTCTCATTCATTGTGCTTTTTTTCTTACATGCTTGGTTATTTTTTTAATATAGTTCTCATGGTCTTTGGAAAAGTTTTTGCAGAGATACTTTGAGGTCTAAGATGAAGTTGTCTTCCTTTGAACAGATTTGGATATGCTTATGTTAGGCCCCTGTTGGCTTTAATACTCCGAGGATCCTTACACTCATTTCATGGCTCAGGGTTCTCAGCATCAAAGAGGCATTGTGAACCTGGGCTGCGGATATGTGTGAGAGCAGACCTGTGGCTTCAAGTTCTCAAGGACTTTTTTTTCCCCTTTTATTTTCCCTGCTTCATTTAGTGCCAGGGCAACCTTTCCTATAGAAACTTGGGGAGAGGGGAGGAATTGTAGGTTAATTTCTAGTTCATTCTTACCCTGAAGGTGTGGCTTTTAGGATCTCAATTTAGTTTCTTAATAGATTCCTACCTGTGTGGGCCCTGGGCTTTGATTTTTTCCTTCTTGTCCTGTGAGTCCTTCAGAAGTGAAGCTCAAGAACTAGATTGACAAGTAGCCTCAGGACGAAACTAGCACTGATGCTTTTAGTGCAGGGGTTAGTAAACTCTTTCTGTAAAGTGCCAGATAGTAAATATTTCAGACTGCGGAACTTATGTTTTTTGTCCAAACTACTCAACTCAGCCATTGTAGCACAAAGCAGCCATAGGCAATACATACACCCGTGAACAGAGCTGTGTGATACAGGCATCATCTGGACTTGGCCCATTTACTGACCCCTCCTCTAGTCCTCTGCTCACCTCTCTCAGGCTCCACTCTCTCTTCAATTTTTAAAAATTTTATTTTATGTTATGTTAGTCACCATACATTACATCATTAGTTTTTGATGTAGTGTTCCATGATTCATTGTTTACGTATAACACCCAGGGCTCCATGCAGAACGTGCCCTCTTTAATACCCATCACCAGGGTAACCCATCCCCCCACCCCCTCTGCTCTAGAATCCTTAGTTTGTTTCTCAGAGTCCATAGTCTCTCATGGTTTGTCTCCCCCCTCGATTTCCCCCTTTCATATTTCCCTTACTACTATGTTTTTTTTTTTTTTTTAACATATAATGTATTATTTGTTTTAGAGGTACAGGTCTGTGATTCATCAGTCTTACATAATTCACAGCACTCACCATAGCACATACCTTCCCCAGTGTCCATCACCCAGCCACCCCATCCCTCCCACCCCCCACCACTCCAGCAACCCTCAATTTGTTTCCTGAGATTAAGAGTCTCTTATGGTTTGTCTTCCTCTCTGGTTTCATCTTGTTTCATTTTTTCCTCCCTTCCCCTATGATCCTCTGTCTTGTTTCTCAGATTCCTCCTATCAGTCAGATCATATGATACTTGTCTTTCTCTGATTGACTTATTTTGCTTAGCATAATACCCTCTAGTTCCATCCATGTCATTGCAAATGGCAAGATTTTGGGGTTTTTTTTTTGATGGCTGCATAATATTCCATTGTGTATATATGCCACATCTTCTTTATCCATTCATCTTTTGATGGACATCTTGGCTCTTTTCATAGTTTGGCTATTGTAGACATTGCTACTATAAACATTGAGGTGTACCTACCCCTTCGGATTACTACATTTGTATCTTTGGGGTAAATACCCAGTAGTGCAATTGCTGGGTTGTAGGGTAGCTCTATTTTCAACTTTTTAAGGAACCTCCATACTGTTTTCCAGAGTGGCTGCACCAGCTTGCATTCCCACCAATAGCGTAGGAGGGTTCCCCTTTCTCTGCATCCTTACCAACATCTGTCTGTCATTTCCTGACTTGTTAATTCTAGCCATTCTGACTGGTGTGAGGTGGTATCTCATTGTCTCTCTTCAATTTTGACCTGGTTAATTCCTTATCACTTTATGAATACTTGGAGGTTTTTAAGGAGGTGGTTTTTATATTTTAAGCCATTGTCTTTTGTTTCATTGGAAGACTGAGTATGCAGTGTATTAGAAATGGAAACCTAGGGCAAATTACTATGGAAGAACTCCTAATGGTATGCTATTTATTTAGCAGAAAATGTTTTGGTCTTCATTTATGACAAGTGTAATGCAGCACGGTCAGGTAGAGGACCGTTTATGGATATTAGGTCATAAAATGGGTCATGTTACTGATCTCTTTCAGGTCATTAATAAACGCTTCTTTGGATTTTTTTTATGTTAAATATGTACTTACAGATTAAGTTTTACTATTTTATTATTTTGGGGAGGGAATCATGTTGGATCACATTTAGACAAGTTTCCCAAGGATAGTGTTCCTGATAGTGAATACTCGTGTTCCTAATACTCTCTCTGATAATGTTCAAAGTACATGCCAGGTGTCATGGAGAACAAAGAAGTATAAGATACTGTCTCTGTCCTCACATTGTTTACCATCTGCATGGGAAGAATAAGGTATTCCATGACATTAAAAGAGGTGATGATCCTTAAGGACTAGAAGGATCAGGCAACTTTATGGAAGAATTCAGTTCTATGCACACATATTGAGTACCTCAGCTGCACAAAGTACTGCTCCATTTGGGCTACAAAGATAATTATAAAAGTGTCCAGGGAATTTGATAGAGGAACTATTTGCTATTATTTTCACTTGGACAGCCAGATTTACTTAATAAGAACAGTTAAGAGTAGAAAGTTGAATTGTGTAGACAGTTTTTAATATATCAGAATGAAGTGGAACATTCACAAACTAAGTTGAATGCCCATGCACATGCAGTGTGATATGATTTGCATCTTGAAAGATGAATAGAATGAAATAGCTAGTGGGAAAATGGCATGCCAGGAGAAGTGATCTAAGCAAGGACGCAGAGCATAGAGTGTGTGTGCCTTTCCTTTGTTTATAATTAAACAAAGATAAAATCATGCCTGCATTACTAGTTACTTTCCATTTGATGTACGCCTTTCCTCCTTACTTTGTGGCTGTTCTTCATGCCTTATGAATCAGATTTAAGAAGCAAGGAGTCATAGAATTTGACTTAAATATTTTTTAACTTATTAATACTCATGCCTTTTCTCAGTTGAGTAATATGTCCAGTTTGGTTATAGTTAAGTGCCTGGCCTCATTCAGCAGTCTGACAAGTATGGGAACCCTTATCAGAAAGGGGAGCAGTGTATGAATGAATGTGAGAATGACTCCAGGTACCTTCATTCAGTTTCTATAAAGCAATTTAAAGTACAGGTTATACTGGTGGTTTTGAAGTACTGTCTGTGCATGCATATTCTGTGAAATTTGTTTTATTACTAAAGTTCTCTGTTTAGCAAAGATAGTAGCTGTTTATTAATTGGTAAAAATATAGATCTCACACCTTAGAATTACATAAATACCTTACTAAGGTAGAGTGAATATATTGTATTAAATACTTTAATATTTATTTTTTCAGCTACCAACCGATAGTTGACTACATAGATGCTCAGTTTGAGGCCTATCTCCAAGAGGAGCTGAAGATCAAGCGCTCTCTCTTTAACTACCACGATTCTCGCATCCATGTGTGCCTCTACTTCATCTCCCCTACAGGTCACTCTCTGAAGACACTGGATCTCTTAACAATGAAGAGCCTTGACAGCAAGGTGGGCTTGGAAAATGACTCGATTTATCATGCTTTAATATTATTTTGAACTGTTAAATACCTTTACAATATGTATATGTATTTTAATTTTTATTCTGTGCATTTTTAAAACATTTGATAAGTTTTAATCTTAGGTTATTTTCCAGAGAAATTCAGTTTGGAAGATGAGCTGCAAAGAAAATACATTAACAAAACTTTAGTCCTTTATTTAGTGATTAAATTGCATGGCAGAATTTATTTGACACTAATTTTACTTTATGACACTGGTGAGAAGAAGTTTGTTGACAAAGATTAAGGTCTAATGTTTCATCATGTGTTATAATAAATTATGTTTTAATTTGAACCATACCAAGAAAACCTATTTTTGAATTTCTGAGCCAAGGAGTGATATATAAATTCAGGGAGCTATAAAAAAATAATATCTACAAATTAACTTACCTTTTTTTTTTTTTAAACTGTGTAAAAGGTGGTTGAAGACCACCTTGTACTAAAAAAACTAGTTTTCCCATAACCTCTGATGGTGTGAGAAATGCAGCTTTCATTATCCTGCCTAATGATTTTATGAGATAGGATTCAAGAAAAAGGGCATTCTGGCCAGTACTACTTTCTATATAGAAATCAGTATGGAAAGCATAAAGCTGCCAGTGAAGTTGTGATTGATTGACTTTTGGCTAGTTGCACAGTCTTCTGGCTTTAGCAAAAACTTGATGAAGCTTACATGATAGTCTCCTCATTTGCTCAGATGTTATAACCATTTATCCGTATTCTCATAGTTGAGTCTGATTATATGGAAGCTCATAAAATCAACATAAAACCAAGCGTGTGTGAGTTTGTCTTAGCTAGACAGAAGCAACATGATGTAATCTGTATAAACAGCATAGAATTTGGTGTCAGTGGAGGCTGGTTTTAAATACTGGCTCTGTCACTTAATAGCTTTGTGTTCTTTGGCAAGTTTCTATAGTCTCCTGAGCCTCAGTTTCCTCACATCTAAAATAAAAAATTAAGGAGAATAATACCTACATCAGGGGGCAGATGTGAGTGTTAATTAAATTGATAGCTTGTCTTTTGTTCCTAAAAGCAGGATACTCCACTGCTTGACATGAAAGTTACCTTATGCAAACAGTGACAGCTTACCATCAGTGTGAAACATCTTTTTCCCTCCCCCCAATATACAAATAAACATATGTATAGCTTTCAGTGTAGCTTTCAGTCTGTGATGTACACTCCCAGCCTAATTACAGTGATATTCTTGGCTAGGAATGCCTGAGGTACTCCCCGCAACTATATTATTCATAGCAAGCCCCACAAGACATCCTCCCCAGGGCCAGTGTCATGTCTGGGCCAGCCCTTGTGGCTCTTACTACAATCTTAGGATACGCTTCAGGCAGATACTATCAGGGAACTTTGAAGAACGAGGTCTATATTACTTACAGGTCCTGGAGGGTACATAGCATGCTGAAGGGCCACACAATGAGGTCGAGTGTGAACCTGGGCTCTGCCTTTATTAGGGTTGAGGGTTGGGTGTCTAGGGTTTCATAAGTTCACTCTTTATCGGCAGATTTAAAGCATAAGAGTGGGATTAGGGCATGCTTGAGTGGTCAGTTATCCAGGTCACCCAGGTTTTTTAAAAGGGGAATGTTATGGGTGGGGGTGGCTTTGTGCCTTATTCATTTGCTAGTAGCTGTGTCATATGGCTGGCATTATGTTTATTTGACATGGATGTCTTTGAAATGAGTACCTTGACAATCAAAAGCTTAATGTCAGACACTTACACTACAGCGTGGTTTTGCTATTTATTGTGGAAGCAATTACAAGTTATTAACTTGGTATAATTTATTGACAGTCTAAGTATATAATGAAACCAAGAACTTGGCATCAAATTTTTATGTACTTTAATTTAGCATGAAAGCTTTTAAGTTTTCATGGGTAGATGAAAAAATCTTTATCTCCTCTGGAGCATATTATAAATATTAGTCTTATAAAGTCTTATAAAGACTAATAAATCGAATATACATAGTAAGTCAGTGTGAAATTGGAGAAGAGCAAGAAATTTAAGAATAGAATTGATTTTTACTTTTCATTCTGAAAATTACATTGATATTTCACTCTCTTGATACTAATTAGCTTGAAATTTTTCACTAAAACCAACTAAATAACCAAAAAAACCCCAAAACCAAAAAAACCCACAAACCTACAAACCCCTAGATTTGCGGAGACATCAGTCTTTTGTGGGACTAATGTTGCAAAGTTAGTCTTCATGACCCCACATTTTTTCCTCTCTGGCCAGTGATAGGACTTTAAGGCTGAGAATGTCATGAACACTTTCAATTGGTATTCATAAAATTTCCTTCCTTCAACATCAAGGTAGGAGTCTCTCACACAGGGTGCAGATTGGATGGAGTCATTGGGGAGGGGATCTGCCAAAATAAGAGGCAGAAGAAGAAACTCTCCTGCTTCAAAGTTTTGCCGAGGGATCAATTACCCTGATTATTTAGTGCTTAGATTATTTTTTTTTTCATTTTCTTTCTTTCTTTCTTTTTTCTTTTTTAAATTTTATTATGTTATGTTAGTCACCATACAATACATCATTGGTTTTTGATGTGGTGATCCACGATCCATTGTTTTCGTATAACACCCAGGGCTCCATGCAGTACGTGCCCTCCTTAATACCCATCACCGGGCTAACCAATCCCCCTTTCCCCCTCCCCTCTAAAACCCTGTTTGATTCTCAGAGTCCATAGTCTCTCATGGTTCATCTCTCCCTCCAATTCCCCCCCCATTTTTCCCTTCCTTCTAATGTCCTCCATGTTATTCCTTATGTTCCACAAATAAGTGAAACCATATGATAATTGACTTTCTCTGCTTGACTTATTTCACTTAGCATAATCTCCTCCAGTCCCATCCATCTTGATGTAAAAGTTGGGTATTCATCTTTTCTGATGGCTGAGTCATATTCCATTGTATATATGCACCACATCTTCTTTATCCGTGCATCTGTTGAAGGGCGTCTCGGCTCTTTCCACAGTTTGGCTATTGCGGACATTGCTGCTATGAACATTGAGGTGCATACGGCCCTTCTTTTCACTACATCTGTGTCTTTGGCGTAAATACCCAGGAGTGCGATTGCTGGGTCATAGGGTAGCTCTATTTTTAAATTTTTCAGGAACCTCCACACTATTTTCCAAAGTGGCTGTACCAACTTACATTCCCACCCACAGTGTAAGAGGGTTCCCCTTTCTCCACAACCTCTCCAACATTTGTTGTTTCTTTCCCTGTCCATTTTTGCCATTCTAACTGGTGTAAGGTGGTATCTCAGTGTGGTTTTGATTTGGATTTCCCTGATGGCTAATGATGAACATTTTTTCATGTGTCTGTTAGCCATTTGTATGTCTTCTTCAGAGAAGTGTCTGTTCATCTCCTCTGCCCACTTTTTGACTTGATTATTTGTTTTTTGGGTGTTGAGTTTGAGAAGTTCTTTATAGATCTTGGATACCAGCCCTTTATCTGTAGTGTCATTTGCAAATATCTTCTCTCATTCTGTCGGTTGCCTCTTTGTTTTGTTGACTGTTTCCTTTGCTGTGCAGAAGCTTTTTATCTTGATGAAGTCCCAAAAGTTCATTTTTGCTTTTGTTTCACTAGCTTTTGGAGATGTATCTTGAAAGAAGTTGCTGTGGGTGATGTCAAAGAGGTTACTGCCTATGTTCTCCTCTAGGATTTTGATGGATTCCTGTCTCACATTGAGGTTTTTCATTCACTTTGAGTTTATCTTTGTGAATGGTGTTAGAGAATGGTCGAGTTTCATTCTTCTGCATGTGGCTGTCCAATTTTCCCAGCATGATTTATTGAAGAGACTGTCTTTTTTCCATTGCATGTTTTTTCCTGCTTTGTCAAAGATTATTTGACCATAGAGTTGAGGGTCCATATCTGGGTTCTCTATTCTGTTCCATTGGTCTATATATCTGTTTTTGTGCCAGTACCATGCTGTCTTGGTGATCACAGCTTTGTAATATAGCTTGAAATTGGGCAACGTGATGCCCCCAGCTTTGTTTTTCTTTTTCAACATTTCCTTGGCGATTTGTGGTCTTTGATTCCATACAAATTTTAGGATTGTTTGTTCTAGCACTTTGAAAAATGTCATTGGAATTTTGATCGGGATGGCATTGAAGGTATAGATTGCTCTGGGTAGCATAGACATTTTAACAGTGTTTATTCTTCCGATCCATGAGCATGGAATATTTTTCCATCTTTTTGTGTCTTCTTCAATTTCTTTCATGAGTGTTTTGTAGTTCCTGGAGTATAGATCCTTTACCTCTTTGGTTAGGTTTATTCCGAGGTATCTTACGGTTTTTGGTGCTGTTGTAAATGGAATTGTTTCTCTAATTTCTCTTTCTACAGTTGCGTTGTTAGTGTATAAGAAAGCAACTGTGGGCGCCTGGGTGGCTCAGTAGGTTAAGCGACTGCCTTCGGCTCAGGTCATGATCCCGGAGTCCTCGGATCGAGTCCCACATCAGACTCCCGGCTCAGCGGGGAGCCTGCTTCTCCCTCTGACCCTCTCCCCTCTCATGCTGTTTCTCTCTCTCTCTCTCTCTCTCATAAATAAGTAAATAAAATCTTAAAAAAAAAAAAAAGAAAGAAACTGATTTCTGTGCATTGATTTTGTATCCTGCTACATTACTGAATTGCTGGATGAGTTCTAGTAATTTGGGGGTGGAGTGTTTTGGGTTTTCCACATAAAGTATCATGTCATCTGCGAAAAGAGAGAGTTTGACCTCTTCTTTGCCAATTTGAATACCTTTTATTTCTTTTTGTTGTCTGATTGCTGTTGCTAGGACTTCTAGTACTATGTTGGACAACAGTGGTGAGAGTGGGCATCCTTGACGTGTTCCTGATCTTAAGGGAAAGGCTCTCAGCTTTTCCCCATTGAGGATGATATCGCTGTGGGTTTTTCATAGATGGATTTTATGAACTTGAGGAATGTTCCCTCTATCCCTATACTCTGGAGAGTTTTAATCAGGAAAGGATGTTGTATTTTGTCAGGTGCTTTTTCTGCATCAATTGAGTAGCCCATATGGTTCTTCTCCCTCCTCTTATTAATGTGTTCTATCACATTGATTGATTTGCGAATGTTGAACCACCCTTGCATCCGGGGATAAATCCCACTTGGTCATGGTGGATGATCCTTTTAATGTATTGTTGGATCCTATTAGCTAGGATTTTGTTGAAGATTTTGGAATCCATATTCATCAGGGATATCGGTCTGAAATTCTCCTTTTTGATGGGGTCTTTGCCTGGTTTGGGGATTAAGGTAATGCTGGCCTCATAGAATGAGTTTGGAAGTTTTCCTTCTGTTTCTATTTTTTGAAACAGCTTCAGTAGAATAGGTATTATTTCTTCTTTGAATGTTTGGTAGAATTCCCCAGGGAATCCATCAGGCCCTGGACTCTTGTTTTTGGGAGGTTTTTGATCACTGCTTCAGTCTCGTTACTGGTTATTGGCCTATTCAGGTTGTCAATTTCTTCCTGTTTCAGTCTTGGCAGCTTATAGGTTTCCAGGAAGGCCTCTATTTCATCCAGATTGCTCAGTTTATTGGCATATAGTTGTTGATAATAATTTCTAATAATTGTTTCTATTTCCTTGGTGTTAGTCGTGATCTCTCCCCTTTCATTCATAATTTTATTAATTTGGGTCCTTTCTCTTTTCTTTTGGACAAGACTGGCCAGTGGTTTATCGATCTTATTAATTCTTTCAAAGAACCAACTTCTAGTTTCATTGATCTGATCTACTGTGTTTCTGGTTTCTAATTCATTGATTTCTGCTCTAATTTTAATTATTTCTCCTCTAATGTGTGGCTTAGGCATCGTTTGTTGCTTTTTCTCTAGTTTTTTAAGGTGTAGAGTTAGTTGGTGAATTTGGGATTTTTCTGTTTTTTTGAATGAGGCTTGGATGGCTATGTATTTCCCCCTTAGGACTGCCTTTGCAGTATCCCATAGGTTTTGGACCGATGTGTTTTCGTTCTCATTGATTTCCATGAATTGTTTAAGTTCTTCTTTGATTTCCTGGTTGACCCAAACATTCTTGAGCAGAGTGGTCTTTAGCTTCCAAGTGTTTGAATTTCTGCCAAAGTTTTTCTTGTGATTGAGTTCCAGTTTTAGAGCATTGTGGTCTAAGAATATGCAGGGAATAATCTCAATCTTTTGATACCAGTTGAGACCTGATTTGTGACCCAGTATATGGTGTATTCTGTAGAAAGTTCCATGGGCGCTCGAGAAGAATGAGTATTGTGTTGTTTTAGTGTGGAATGTTCTGTAAATATCTATGAGGTCCATGTGGGCCAATGTATCATTCAAAGCTCTTGTTTCCTTGTTGATTTTCTTAGATGATCTGTCCATTGCTGAGAGTGGAGTATTGAGGTCTCCTACAATTAACGTATTGTTCTCAATATGACTCTTTATTTTGGTTAACAGTTGGCTTATGTAGATGGCTGCTCCCATGTTGGGGGCATAGATATTTACAATTGTTAGATCTTCTTGTTGGATAGACCCTTTAAGAATGATATAGTGTCCTTCTGTGTCTCTTATTACAGACTTTAGTTTAAAATCTAACTTGTCTGGTATAAGAAATGCTACCCCAGCTTTCTTTTGAGGTCCGCTGGCATGGAAGATGGATCTCCATCCCTTCACTTTCAGTCTGGATGTATCTTTAGGTTCAAAATGAGTCTCTTGTAGACAGCATATGGATGGGTCCTGTCTTTTTATCCAATCTGCAAGGCTGTGCCGTTTTATGGGAGCATTTAGGCCATTCACGTTGAGAGTGATTATTGAAAGATATGAATTCATTGTCATGTTGCCTGTGAAGACATTGTTTTTATAGATTGTCCCTGTAGATTTCTGTTGTATATCACTCTTGGGGTCTTTCTCCTTTTATAGAACCCCCCCCTTAATATTTCTTGCAGGGCCGGCTTAGTGGTCACATATTCTTTCAGTTTCTGCCGGTCATGGAAGTTCTGCATCTCTCCATCCATTCTAAATGAAAGCCTTGCCGGATAAAGTATTCTTGGCTGCATGTTCTTATTTAGTACCCTGAATATGTCTTGCCAGGCCTTTCTGGCTTGCCAGGTCTCTGTGGATAGGTCTGACGTTATTCTGAGGTTCCTCCCTCTGTACATAAGGAATCTCTTCCCCCTAACTGCCCTTAAGATGGTTTCCTTGGTTCTAAGATTTGCAGGTTTTACTATTACATGCCAGGGTGTTGGCCTGTTTTCCTTGATCTTAGGAGGGGTCCTCTCTGCCTCTAGGACTCGAATGTTTGTTTCATTCCCCAGATTAGGGAAGTTCTCAGCTATGATTTGCTCAAATACATCTTCTAGTCCTCTCTCTCTCTCTCCACTTCCTCTGGGATTCCAATTATTCTGACATTGGAACGCTTCATGGTGTCACTTATTTCTCTGATTCTATTTTCATGGATTCTGAGTTGTTTTCCCCTGGCCTCCTCTTTTCCATTTTTATCTATTATATTGTCTTCCAGGTAGCTTATTCTCTCTTCTGCCTCAGTTACCCTAGCTGTTAGATTATCTGGATTGGATTGGATCTCATTGATAGCATTTTTAAGTTCTGCCCATTCACCTTTTATTTCTGCCGTTAGAGACTCTATGTTGCCATTAATTGATTTCTCCATTCTAGCCATTGTCTTCACAATTGCTAGCCTGAATTCCATCTCTGACATCTTGGTTATATCTGCATCCGTTTGTAAATCTGCAGCATAAGTCATAATCTCTGAGTCTTTTCTTTTTGGGGGCTCCTCCTCCTAGTCATTCTGTTGATGGGTGTTTGAGGGAATGTATAGAGTCCAAATTATTGACCAGAACCCAAGCAAGATGCACCTGTTTTCTTGGGACCTTAGGGTTGCTGGCCTCTTGTTTTCCCAGCCTGTCTTCTGTGGGAGGGGCCTGTTGCGCTGTTACTCAGGCAACCCCGTTTGGGCAGAGTTGCTCTGTGCCCCTGTGGCGGGGGATGGGCTCAGCGGGAATCAGTTTTTGGGGCTTTTGTTCTCTGGCGCCTTTCCCTGGCGGCTTTCCGTGTCTCTTCCACAAGTCAGAGCAGAAGAGACCGTTTCCAACCCTCTGCCTCAGAGCAGAGAGATCGCAGTCTGTTCTTCAGTGTGCTCTCCAGGCCACACCGTCTCCGTTTCTGTCCGGGCTGCCATAAACTGCAGCGTCCTGGGTTGTGTGCCCCTCTGCAGCACTCTCAGTCCTGCCTCCAGGTCGGAGCATGTCTCTGCCCTTTGTGCTTCCAAAACCGCCAGCTGCTCCCATTTCCCAGGTGCGTGACCCCACCACTTTGGGTTTCCGCCCCAGGATCTGCAGTTTGCAGGCGCGACCCCGACACTCCGGGTTTCCACCCCGGGGGCTGCCCTAAAGTCCTTTCCCCGCTGCTACTGGTCTAGGAGTCTGTGCCTCTCTGCATCGTGCGAGGCTGTCACTCACCGGCCGTGTAGGATTCCCCACGGCCAGGCACCCTCCCGCTGCCGTTTATCCTCCGATATCTGCCCGTGGAATCACGGCTCCCCGCTTCGTGCCTCAAAACCAACTGCCTGCGATATTCTGTTTGTAGAGATCCAGATCTTCTTACATCTCCCGCTGGTTTTGTGGGTCCTCAGAGTGGTCTGGTAGATATCCAGCTCAATTCCGGGGACCAGTTGAAATAGGGTCCCATACTCCTCTGCCATCTTTCCCCCCTCCTATGCTTAGATTATTAAGAAATAAAAAATACTTAGTGAATTAAGCAGGTGATCTCAGCTTCCTGCTTACATTTTGTATGTGATAAAATTATAAGAGACTGAGAAAGAGAAGAAAATATAAGATTTCTAACCCTAAATCCAGATGTAAGATTAATCTTATAAGAACTCTGCTTTTAAAAAGCAGTTACTATTAAGGCCAGCATCTGTAGGAATGATTGTGTAGGGGAATATGGTGGTAGTGACAGCCAGCGATGATCTGGGTTAGGAGTTGGCAAGCTTTTTCTGTGAAGAACCAGGTAGTAAATACTTTAGGCTTTATAGGCCATATGGTCTCTGATGTAACTACTAATCTCAACTATTGGAGAATGAAAGTGGCTCTGGATAATATGTAAATGAATGGGTGTAGCTGTGTTCTAGTAAATATTTATATCAACAGACAATGAGCTGGCCCATAGTTTATTCATCCCCTGATCTAGGTTAAGGAAGTTTGTCAGAGACTGAGTGGTTTTGAATGCAAAAACTACAGAATTAAAAAATAAATCCTCAATTATGAGATTTTGTTTTTCTTTATTGTCAATAGGTGAACATTATACCAGTGATTGCCAAAGCAGATGCAATTTCTAAAGCTGAATTACAGAAGTTTAAGATCAAGCTCATGAGTGAATTGGTTAGCAACGGTGTTCAGATATATCAGTTTCCAACAGACGATGAAACTATTGCTAAAATCAATGCTTCAATGAATGTAAGCTCCTAGTTGAATGTTAATTCTGTTTACATGTGAAAAGAGTAACTTGTAAATGACATTCCTACTAACACTTTAATTTGTGTCTTCTAAAAAGACTTCACACAAGGTGAATTTTCAGAAAGTTCAGTATAGGAAAATGTGTTATTTTCTAGAGTTGGAAAAAATATATGAGAATATATTTTTGAGCATATTTTCTTTCCTCTACTTTCACCTAAATAAAATGATACATTGGTGAGGCTGGGATACTCCTTTTGTGGCACCATACTTACTAATTGCCTTAGAAAGATACCTTTTATCCTGTCTTTAAAAAACATGTGAAGTCTTTATATTCTCCCTCGGAATGCTTTGGAATCTTAAAGTCCTTAAGGATATCTTTCTAATCTGATATTTAAGCTCAGTGTCCCTTATAGTGTCACACGTACATATTAAACATTCACATAACTTTTCATTTAATACGACTAAAGATGGCTAAGTTCTTTGTGATACTTTCTTCAGGCTACTAAATTTCTTAAATATCTGGTTATATTTTGAAGGGTCATTGGTTTTGACTTAACTGTATGTTCTTGTGGGAGATATTAACCTCCCTGAGACTGTTAACTTACCTACAAAATTGGGTTAATACGTACAATTGGGTTGTTGTGAGGATACAGTCTTTGTTCACTGCCCAACACAGTGATATTCAGTAACTGTTCATGCCATGTCTCCTTTTCCTTTTTTGATTTTTCATTAAGATACTTTAAATTAAAAAAGCTGACTAATGTAAATGAAGTGATCTCAATACCTATGTGTTATATTGTCTTTAGATCTAATTTTATTTTTTGTGCCCACTTGGAATAATTTTTCAGAAGGGGACAATTAAGACACCAAATGTCAATTATTAAATATTAAATATAATACTTAAAACTTTTACATTAGACTTTTCTCCTATATTAATCCTCAGCTTCAGACAGACCAGTCTACTCACTGTTCTCTACATCTAGCTATTATGTATTTGTTCAAAATCTTCTCCTTACCTAAGTTAGTTCTTACTCTCCTTGATCCATCTCTGGTTTGGGTTATATCTTTCTGCTCACAGTGATCCCTTACTCCTCTAAGTTTATGTAACATTTACTATCTTTAGCACTAGTTTGGGACTTAAATATTACTTTGTATTAGTATCATATATCTGTGCACACACTAAATATAGATATATATTTTAGTTATTTATTTTGTGTGTGTGTGTGTATGTGTGTAATTTCCTCAACATTATTTTTGCCTTTTAGGGCAAAAATTCTATACTAGAATTTTTTTTTATTCTTATAGCATGATACCTTGCATGTGGGGGATGCTCAGTGAATAATTTTCTTTACAGAGCCTGAAATTTACTTTTATAGAACAGTTGGCACATATTCACTGCCAAGTTTTAAAATTGGAGGTATAGGGGCACCTGGGTGGCTCAGTTGGGTAAGCATCTGCCTTCAGCTCAGGTCATGATCCCAGGGTCATGGGATTGAATCCTGCGTCAGGCTCCTTGCTTAACAGGGAGCCTGCAGCTCCCCCTACTTGTGCTCTCTCTCTCTGACAAATAGATAAGTAAAATCTTAAAAAAATAAAATAATTTTAAAATAACTAAAATCAGAGGCATAGCAGATCATGTGATTTTAATAACTCTGTTATTTAGTAAATTTTCTCTAATCTGTTATTTTCATAAAACTTTTTTAGTTGGTCATTTATCACAATAGCGTGAGATATGATTTGATATCATGGTTCCCTTCCAGGGACATTTGCCATTTGCTGTTGTAGGAAGTATGGATGAGGTAAAAGTTGGAAATAAGATGGTCAAAGCTCGCCAGTACCCTTGGGGTGTTGTACAAGGTAAATGAGATGAATGATGACTAGGAATATGTTTGTCACCTAACAGTCTGAAAGTTGCATTCAGTGCATTCTCTGAGTTGATGCTTATTTTGGGTTATGATTTGGTTATCAGAAGAGTGGAATGTGTTCTGTTTTGGCCAAGTATGTGGAGGCTGGGCAGAGTGTCCCCATTTTCTCCATTATACCACACACATTTTGTGCCTGGTATGCCAAGACATTCAGAAAGTGGAAAGCACTAGTCAGAACAGAATTTGAGTATAAATAGTAGTGTTTAGACATGATATATAAATTAATTACTAGGTAATTCTAGGCACAATAAACCATCTTGTACATTTATGTATTTCTAATCACCAAAGTATCGCCAACTGTTTCCAAAACAAACTAGTCAGCCAATTAAAAAATTTTAGGATTAATGTAGCATTGTAATGAATAAGTAATTAGTACTATCTGGTTCATTCACTTACTTGTGCTTTTATTACTGGGGAATGGATTCCCTACTAGTACTGGTTTCCCAATACTGCTGCTTTTTTAAATTGACAGATTTGTAGTTAATAAAAAATATTAACAAAACTTAACATTTTTAATATGTAAAAAATACAAAAATAGTAATTGTACTTAAAACTGTTGGTTACAGTTACACAATTATTTGTAGTCTTTTGGTTACCATAACCCTAGAAGAAGGGCTATGTAAGGAGAACTAAGTGTATTTATTCACTAATCTTGAATGGTGTCAAACACAGCATCTTAAATGTGGCATTGTATAAAAAGAATTTGATAATTATAGCATGTACAGATGGCATCTTGAGTATGCAGAATTACTACTTTGAAGTTTTAGTAAAATAATGTTACAGACTCTTTTTAAGCACTTTGTAAAATGTCCTAAGGATGGTTTGTAAACTGCCAACAAAATATTTGTGAAATAACTGGAGCATATGGTAACATAATATAATGTATTTCTTTCCTGTTTATCGATTGCCTACTAAATTTAAAGCAATTTCCCAGTCTGTTCATTTAAATTGCCTATAATTCAGTGTGTATAATGCAAGAGTTTCTTCCTTGGTTACTTATATAAAACAATCATAGGTATTAGGCTGATCATTTCACTGTTAATTTCGGATGTGTTTTTATAGATTCTTTCATTCAACAAATACTGTGTGTCAGGAATTAAAAATTGGTATTGCTATTTTCTTGTTTTTCTGGCTAGTGGAAAATGAAAACCACTGTGACTTTGTAAAGCTCCGGGAAATGCTCATTTGTACAAACATGGAAGATCTGCGAGAACAGACCCACACTAGGCATTATGAACTTTACAGGCGTTGCAAACTGGAGGAAATGGGGTTTACAGATGTGAGCCCAGAGAATAAGCCACTCAGGTAACAGGGGATTTCTGTGAGAAGCCAACCAAAGAGGAAGTTAGAGAGGATTGTACCTTGTTAAATACCCAGGATGTTGGAGAATGTGGTTTTCAGAAATCTGGCAAACCATGAAGTAGAATCATTTGCTTATGATTAATTATTGTGCTTCTCAGATCACTTGAGGCCTTCTTGCTTTTGAAGGGTCTCTAATACCTCATCTGACTCAAAGAGTTTAAGAAAGAACATAATGGGGCACCTGGGTGGCTCAGTCGTTAGCCGTCTGCCTTCGGCTCAGGTCATGATCCCAGGGTCCTGAGATCGAGTCCCACATTGGGCTCCCTGTTCGGCGGGAGACCTGCTTCTCCCTCTCCCACTCCCCCTGCATGTGTTCCTGCTCTCGCTGTCTTTCTGTCAAATAAATAAATAAAATCTTAAAAAAAAAAAAAGAACATAATGGCAGAAGCCCATTATCTCAATACATGCTGAAATGAATAACTAAAGGAAAGAACTCTCATTATTTGGTTTTATGTTGTATTTTTCTGAAAAAGATAAAAGCATATTTATCTGTTCTTCTAAAGGAAAGTTCGAATGTGAATCATATTAAACCAAAAACAGAACAACCTTGGTTTTTATCTTGATGAAAGTTTGAAATTAGTTAAACTTAGGAAAATGTCTTATAAGGGAAGAATGAAAGTGCTTGTAGGGAGTCAGAGATTGGACTGTTTCTTAAAATATTACAGGGTACTTGTAAGAATTTTAGAGCCTGATGACCTTCTTGTTCAGTAATTACAGCATTCAGTGTTATAAACTTGCTGGGTAATTTTATGTACTGCCACATTCCTGACTTTTTTTATTATTAAGGTATGTAAACATGAAACTCTAATCCTTAACCTACTACATCAAATTTGATTTGATGTAACATTCCAGAATAGTTTTTGCATGGAGGAAAGCATGAGATCTTTAGGCAAAACACTCTTTAAAACTCTGTTGTGGAACTAAGGATTTCTTTTCTATTTCATTATTTGTATTTCTGTCATTTCCCTGACTGTTAGTATTTGTAGTAGAGTAAACACAAAAAGAAGGAGGAGAACATTAAATCAGTGCTGCCATTGCATATGACCTTTGGGAAGATTTAATAGTAGATGAGGTTAAATTTTTAAATTTTTTAATCTATGGATTTAATTAGTGTTTTCTCTCTAGTAGTATGATAAATTAAGAATTATATGTGCTTAACCCCTCCTCACCAATTTCATGCATGCTATGCTTTTGATGACAGGCCAATCTGATAAAATTATTTTCTCTATTGAAGATTTGGCTTCGCTAGTGTTTCCCAGAGGAGGCTTACTTCTCATTCTTTCAAATTTGAGGGTCAATTCACAGGTCTCAATGTACATTACTAAGACATGAATCCTGAGTGAGAGCAAGTGGAACAGCCTTGGAAGTACTCTGAGAAGAGGGATTCAGGTTGCCTGGTGGGTCAGTCATCAAGCATCTGTGGAAGATTAAGAAATGTGGGTTCAGAATTTCCAGGGATGGAGCCCAAGAATCTGCATTCAAGTTAAAATTTCAGTCATTCAGTAGATATTTGCTGTTTGTCTCCCATTGGTTCCACACACTGCTAGTCAGTGGTATGTAAGTACTGTGGGATTAAACAGAAACTCTACCTTACAGAATTTCTGGGATGGAGGTGGGAGGAGGACACTCTGGCCCTTTGTGGAAAATAGAGTCAGGGTGCTGCTACAGTAGTCCTGGTGAGACAATAAAGGCTTGGGGTAGAGTGGTAGTGTAGAGGTGGTCAGAAGCACATTTAAGACATCTAATTTGAAGATAAAATTCATAGGACTCATTGATGGTTTGGATATGGGATGTAAAGGACAGAAGAATCAAGGATGACTCCAGTCACTGAAAAATGACCTGAATTTGGCTGAATGGTGGTAATGTTTACTGATATGAGCAAGACTGGGGAAAGGATAGATTTTAGGGGTTATGGTTGATAATTGAGAGGTTTTGGACATGTTAAATTTAAGTTGCTTATTAAATACTACAGTGAAGAGACGCCTGGGTGGCTCAGTGGGTTAAACATTCAACTCTTGGTTTCTGCTCACGTCATGATCTAATGGGTCGTGGGAACAAGCCCTGCATTGGGCTCCACACTCAGCGGGGAGTCCGTTTGAAGATTCTGTTCCTCTGCCCCTCTGTCCACTCATGCACGCACATGTGTCCTCTGTCTTTCTTTAAAATAAATAAATAAATCTTTTAAATAAATGAATATTCCAGTGAAGAGTTTCAGTAGGTTATTACATAAATGAATCTGGCACTTAGGGAGAAGTTAAGGCTGTGGTGATAATTTGAAAGTCAGCAGTGAATAATATGAAAAATCATAAACATTTTTTTTTTTAAAGATTTTATTTACTTATTTGACAGAGATAGAGCCAGAGAGCACAAGCGGGGGGAATGGCAGAGGGAGAGGGAGAAGCAGGCTCCCCACTGAGCAGGGAGCCTGATGTGGATCTCCATCCCAGGCCCCTGGGATCATGACTTGAGCCATCCAGGTGCCCACAAATCATAAACATTTTAAAAAGTGTCTCCTATTTGCAAGGCTCTGGGCTAAGTGCTGGGGATATAATAGGAATAAGATCCTATAGACCTGGCTGTCATGGAGATTACATTCTTATAGGGGAGGCCAAAATCAAATTGCACAATTAATCACAATTGTGAAATGTGCACTAAAGGAGAGATGGTATATAATGGGGGAGGGTTTCCTGACTTAATCTGGAAACTTAAAGAAGATTTTCTTGAGGCAGTTAGTTTTTGAGCTAATAATTTGGGGAAGTCAGAGCAAGACATGAAAAGACTGCAAGCAGAGAGAGAATGACATCTTCAGAGCTCTGTAAGAAGGTCAGTGCAGCTGGAGAGCGGACAAGTTGGGGCATAAGATTGAGAGAACAGGTAGGCAGGAGTCAAACTGTGGAGGACCTGGTTGGGATTTGGGCTTTGTTTCAAGGGAAAGGCAAAACCATTCAAGGAGTTATCATACCATATTTGCATTTGAAAAATCACTTTTAGCTCTAATGCAAAGAAAGTATTAAAATGGTGTGCAAAGATGTTTAGGAGACACCAGTAGGAGAGTATTGCTTGGATGAAAGCAAAAGTGGTGAAAATAGAACTGGGTGTGTTTGGGACATATCTAGAAGATGAAATTGAAAGAACTTAGTGACTGTTTGGATATACTGAGGTAAAGAAGCAGGAAATGCCAGAAGATGCTGCTAAAAAGAAAGACTTCTAGTTTCTGGGTATTATGGTTTCATTGGCTAGGTAGATGGTTGTACCTTTCCTCGAAATAGGTATCTCTGGAAGGACTGGCTTTTTTGTGGAGCAGCAGTGCTGGGCATGATGGAGCATAAGCTTGGTTTGGGACCTGCTGACTTGAGTTTCCTCTGAAACATACAAGTGACAATGTTGAATAGGCACTTTGGGTATTTTTCTGGAGCTCAGAGGAGAGGGCTGGGCCAAAGGAATGAACTTAAGAGTCATCAGCATTTAGATGGCTAACTGAGTGTTTGAATATGGATGAGATTGCCTGAAGAGAGAAGTACATCTGAAAAGAAAGGTGCCTTGGAAACAGACTTGAGTCACTCTAATATTTGTCAGCTGGAGAAGCAGATAGAAGAGACTGAGAAGCCTTGGGTAGAGGAAGGAGGAAAACCAGCAGTGACATGTCTTGGAAGCCAAGTGAAGAGAGTTTCAGGAAAGGAGAGGTCAGCTGTGTTGAAGCTAAGGATCAGGTTCTTGCTATAGAAGTACAGCAGTGTAATACATTGCAGTTGCTTCCTTTACAGCTCTTTGAAAATAAGACAAAAAGGGCAGTAGTTCTATGGAAGGCTACATCAGCTAAGAATTACAGATTCAAAGAGAAGACTTAGAACAGGTAGAAACCAGTTTCATTCTATGCTGGGAGTGGAGTGAATGAACTGAAACCATTTCCAGCCTTTTTATTCTCTGCTTGACAATTTATAGTCTAGTCCAGTAGGCCTACCTTAGGACATGTACCCTTGTCTTGGCCGGAGTGGGCATGAATCTAATTAATTGTCCCACCAGACTGTATCCCCAGGGGGAAGAGGTAGCTCTCCAAAAGGTAATCAGGTTAACAATACCAAAGGGAAGTATAGGTAGATGGTGGGCATTCAGAATCAAAGATTGCTTAGAACATCCATTTTTTTGAGCATTTCTTCAGTTCGGGAAGCATCTGCTCACTGATCAAATGAAGAATGGAAAATTGGAAAAAGGAGGTTCTTCAGTCTACACCAGGTAACAGATTGGGTAGGGAACAAGCAAGAAAAGATGGGGAACTAGATCTCAGTGTCAGGGAGGCCTCTGCCTGCCTGAGTCTTCTACCCTTCCTAGGCTGCTCTCCTTAAGAGAGGACATTTTTTCCTGGATTTCTTGAATCAGGCATGGCAGAATGTTTCTTCTCCTGGTGTTTTCTTATTTGTGAATAAATTATTTGGTAAAGCTTCTATAGTTCATTATAGCTTGATGTCTTAGGAAGGTTTTACAGTTTCAAGAAGTTACATTCTATTTTCTGGGCAATATTTCCCATTCAATTTGGGGTGTACCTAACAGTAGTCACTATGGTTTGGTTGGCATGTAAAATCCATCCCTCAATATTATATCTATCAATTAAAAAAACATTTATATGAACATGTTAGGTTGACTTTTATTTCTCTTTACTACCCAGTCCTCTACATTGCCAGACCTTCAGCTTGTTTTCCATTTAGATTTTATTGTGAACAGTTATGCTGAGTCGTAGTTAGTGTCTTAATCTCTCAACACTATTCATGTGCTTATCATGAGGTCCCAGTAAATGGCATTATACTCTCCTCTAGCCTTAATTAACTTATCTTTAATTATTTAAGCTAGATCAGAAATAACTGATAAACCTTCTTAAATCCCTAAGTTATTTTAGATTAACATAACCATTCTCATTCCAACAGTTAATCATCTTTAACGTTTGAGTATAAAATCACTGCCATTTGAAGTGTCGAGGGACCTGTAGTTTTGAAAGGAAGATTTTTGTAGTATTTTAGAGTTGCTTAAGTTTGACATAATTTTTTTTGTGTTGTAAAATTTGTATCTTTGAAACTCTCAAATAAATAACTTTCTGCATTTAGTCTACAGCAGAAATGGAAAAAGTTCAGCAGGCTTTTAAGAACTGTATATGAAACACAAAGAAGTCCTAAGTGAAGGGACTGCAGTGATTTTCTTGATGAATATGAGCATTTGAAAAATTTTTTTCTTCCTCTTTGGTTTTAAACTTTGCTTTAAATCAGTGATATTTGCAAGTATAGTAGTATGTTTCATTGAATATTTGTGACAACAAGCTTCTTTTATACTAGAAAAAGCAAGAATTTTATACTAACATAGCAAGAAAACTTTTTCATTTTCGTTTGATGAATAAATCCATGATAGTAAACAGTAGTTGCATTAGTTTTACAACACTAACTATGTGAATTGTTCCCTTACAGATCTTCTAGGAGTTTTTTTACCACCTTTTGAAAGATAGTGTGGGTTTTTTAACTTACAATTGGTTTTACTTAAAATGGACTTCTGGTTGTCAAAGTTGAAAAACCATGTGACATGATGGAAAATATGCAGGAGCAGTACATGACTTTTTAATCTTTTGATAAAACAAAAACCTAACCTGGTTCAAATTCTAGCTTTTTACTTAACGACTATGTTGCTTTGATTACTTTTCCTCTCTGAGCTTTAGTTTTCTTATCTGTAAAACAGAGTATTAGTGCTTATTCTTCATGGATGCTATGGGAATTAGGTAGAGAAAGGATTCCAGAAAAGTACCTTGTTGGTAGGAGCTATTCAACAAATGTTAGGTCTTTTCTCTTTGCCAGGTAGATTTATTTTCCTCTTAAGCAACTCAAGTGCTTATATAAACAGATAATGGGAACTTTTTTAAGCTTACATTTGGTATGAATTCAGAACATTATTTAAATCAAGTTTGTCATTAAAGACTATCAATCCAGTGTAGGATCAGCAAAATGTAGTGAAGTTTCTGAAAATGATGAAAGTAGCCTGATAGATATAGAGGTTTCTTTAAAATAAGACCAAAACAAACACAGAAAAGCAAAAAGCCTGCTAAAAAGTAAAATGTTTCCTTGAGATTTTGAGCATTTATGTGGTTATCTAGGGCAGTTTGTACATTTTGCTCTTAAAATGTTTAGGATCTGTTCCTCCTCAGAACACCTGCTATGCATACCCCATACAATCAGCTGTAATAGCTGTTGTGCAACATTTCTTACTATAATTCTCCTTGAACTTCTAGAATTCTATATTTATAAGATTTATTTCTCCAGTTATAGGACCAGTGAATAGGTTGGTATGGCTGGAACCTTAAGAGGATTAGTTTGTTTGGTAAGAGATGAATCTGGAAGGGTAGAATTAGGCCAGATTGTGAAGTATCTTAAGTGCTATTTAAAGGAGGTGGGACCTTATTTAAGACTGTAAAATTCCTTAATTCATCATATTTATATCTACTTAGATATAAAATACTTTTGTAAGCAGTAGACATTTCTTACTGCAACACAGCTGGAAAGTACATTTGTGTTCCCTGTTAAATCTTTGTGATAGTCTCATAGTGAGCTGAAATGGAAGGGCTTGGTGTTTCTGACGTATAAGAAGGTCTGTTATACCTCTGAAATGCTATAAGTAAAACAAAAAATATATATAAAAAAAGGGGCAGCTGGGCATAGTGTTCCAGGACAATCCTTGCTCTGCTTGGTTAAATCTGGCTCTACTTCCTGGCAATTTCTGTCATTAAATGAACAGTTATGAAGAGCCTGAAATGTCTAGAGAGTTTTGCTGGATAGTCGGGTTACAAAGATAATGATCTATTAGAGAGACAAGTAGGATATAAATGCCAAAGAAGAGGTACAGAGTGCCATGAGAGTGCTTAGAAGGCATAGTTAGTTCCAAATGGGGAGACCAGAGAAGGCTTTTTTTTTTTTTTTTTTTAAGATTTTATTTATTTATTTGACAGAGAGAGAGAGCAAGCACAAGCAGGGGGAACTGCAGAGGGAGAGGGAGAAGGAGACTACTGTCCACTGAGCAGGGAGCCGGATGCAGGGGTCAATCCCAGGACCCTGGGATCATGACCTGAGCCAAAGGCACTTAACCGACTGAGCCACCCAGACGCTCCCAGAGAAGGCTTTATAGAGAAAGTGGCATTTGAATTTGGCCTTTCAAATTCAAGGAGTAGAGGATTAGCTGGGTAGAATGGGGGTTGGCAGGTGGGCAGTAATGGTCGAAGCACAGAAGTTACACAAGCTAAAGCATGAAATGTGTGGTTTTAGGAACAACGAATTGGTTGGTATGGCTGGAACCTTAGGAGGATTGGATTTGTTTGGTAAGAGATGAATCTGGAAAGGTAGAATTAGACCAGATTGTAAAGTTTCTTAAGTGCTATTTAAAGGAAGTGGGACCTTATTCTGTAGATAACATAACTAATGCAGTGGAAAAAAAGATAATGAGACCTGTGGTGTTTTTTGGAAAATCTTAGGAGTGGCAAGATTAAGAAAGTGAAAAAGAAGAACTAAAAGCCCAGAGATCAGTTAGGATATTAATTTGTAATAGTGAAGGCAGAAAATCACTTATGATTGAGTTGGGCTGTACCAGAGTATCTGTAGAAATCAGAAGACTGGATTAAAATGATGTCAAGGTCACAGACTGAACTCCCAGACCTTGGTGATCAGATACAGAGATAAGGTTACGGGAAGAGTCATGGATGACTTAGACTTCAAGGTTTCCAGACACAGTGGTGCTAATTAACAAAGACTGAAAGAGGAATTCATTTGGGGTAAAATGAGAATACTTCTTGTAAAGGACTTGACAAGTCAGAGATTTCAGAAATCTAGTACTCTCTATTAGCTGTAGCACTGGTGGCTTTTTAAGTCTCACGCTGTAGGAAATGTCATTTTCGGACTGCTGTATAAGAGGTATTGGTACATATTGTTATAGTTACAAGGCTTAACCCAAGAAGTTTGAGTGTTTGCAAGTTTCCTACATCATTTTTTAACATGAGAGTACCACAAATAACTTTTTAGTCTTCAAGAAACCTATGAAGCCAAAAGACATGAATTTTATGGTGAACGTCAGAGGAAGGAAGAAGAAATGAAGCAGATGTTTGTGCAGCGAGTAAAGGAGAAAGAAGCCATATTGAAAGAAGCTGAAAGAGAGGCAAGTATGCTGGTTTGATACGATTTGCATTTGTTTTTTAGGTGTCCTGTTGGGGAGATTTATCTCAAGAATTTAGCTGAGATGCTTTTGGAGACTACTTCTTCAATAAGTAGCTATTTTAACACATAGTCTTTGCATACGGACTTTAAAAAGTCTGAATTCAGATAAAAATTTTGGCCTTTTTGCATAGTCTTCCATTAGAAGTGGTTCACCAAGTACTTGTATTGGACTAGGTTACTAAGAAGTGTTTTAAATGTCTTAAGTTTGAGCCAGAAATGTTTTAGCTGTGGCTTTATAAAGCCTTTCTTGAGAGTTCTTGAGAGTTGTTGGGATTGATGCTTGCTATGAAATGGGTAACTATAAAGCAGTTAAGTAGCTCTTTCAGTTTGAAGTCAGGCTTTCCACATGAGCCAGGTGGTCAGATGACCTTTGGATAGCCTTGGTGCACATGTGCACATGCATACATATAAACATCACAGTTAATTTCCATAGTACTGTTTGCTTCTAGTTCTTCAGGCAATAATTTTACTTTTATTCAAGTTAAGCTATTTCCTATAGACCTAACCACAATGGCTACTTTTAAGTGAAATGGCCATATTCAAGATGATGATCAAAAAGGATTAGCTCAAAAGGGAATTTGCCATCTGTATTTTATAAATGCGTGTGTATGCATTTGAGGGGAGGGATGTATATTTTTCCCTGGTCATCTGAAAGCTGATTATAGACATTATGATTATGATTATGACACTTTATCCCGAGGCCCTTCAGTATGTATCTCTGAAGCTTAGGCACATTTTCCTCCATAACCATTGTACCAGTATTATACCTAAGAAATTTTTTTTTTTTTTACACCTAAGAAAATTAGTAAGAATGCCATAATCTCACCTGATCTCCAGTCGACATTCATACTTCCGCAGTTGGCCCAAGATGGCCTTTTATTGTGTGGCTTTTTTTTTTGGTTTGGTTTGGTTTGGTTTTTTGGTGATTTTTTTTTACTTTTGTTTTTGAACTGGAATTCAGTTGTAGGTCTCATGTCACATTTGGGTATTCTCTTTGTTTAGTCTCTTGTATTGGAGAATAATCCCCTAGTTTTGAGTTATTTTTAAATATAAATATTGAGGAAAGAGTTGTGATGAGTAGGAAATAAGGATGCTGATTTTTTTTTCATTAGTAGATTCATCTTTAAGATGGTAGTAGAGTAAAACTCTTTATTTAAGAGTTTATCTCATGTATCATGAGTCTTAGTTTCTCCAGTGAGGAGAAAAGACGTAGAAGTGGTTTCTAGTTGAGTTTTTAATTTTTAAAATCCCACATAAGAATATTTTGCTTAAACGTGTATTGTTTAAAAGGAAATTAAAAATTCAGGGTAACCACATGGTTAAAAGAAAAAAAGAAAGACTATTTGTCAGCAGATCTTTTGAAGACTTTTATTTTTATGGTTCAAGTGCTTTTTTGTGAAGCACAAAAAATGAAGTTAATGTAAACCTAAGGCATCAACAACCAAAATTCTCACAAGAGTTCTAAATTTTTTATTATATAGCATTAGAGGCAGTAGATTCCAGGCCCCTTTATTAATATTACAAGGTACTTTGTGACCAGTTTTTATACTGTAAAGTCAGTGTCATTAAATACTTTATAGAGTCAAGGTCAGAAAAACAGACCTCTGTGCTGTTGATAACTTGTGCCCTTAAGACAGTATCATCAGTATGGTACACTGCTATATCTTATGTAAACACTACTTCTGAATATTTGAAAATATGTTTGAATTAAATCCCTATTGTAGTGAATAGTGGAACCATGAGTGAATCTTGTATATGGTGTAGACTGTTGGTATCAAAAGTTGTGAACTCCACGTGATGTGATGTCACACCTACCCTCCCTCCCCTTTTATTTTTTTTAAAGATTTTATTTATTCATTTGAGAGAGACAGAACACAAGGCTGGGGGCGGGGGAGAGGCAGAGGGAGAGAGAGAAGCAGATTCCCCCCCCCCCCCCCCCCCGAGCTGGGAGCCTAACGCGGGGCTCAATCCCAGGACCTGGAGATCATGACCTGAGCCGAAGGCAGACACTTAACCATCTGAGCCACCCAGGCGCCCCGCCCCTCCCGCCTCCCCTTTTAAAACATTTTTCTCTTTATAGTATTTCTGTAATTTTTAGTCAACCTCATGAATGATATATGAAGTACCCTATAACCTTTCAAGATATTTAACTATGCATATAGAATATGCAGCCTCCACTTAAGTAATCAGAGATGTCTTTATTAATATAATATAAATCCACTCCTGTATCCTGTCTTTCCAGGCTTTACTCAGCTCCTCTCCCACATTTATAGGAAATGCACACATACTCAGAGACTTGTGACTCTCTTGTTTATACCACTGATTTGAATGACAACTAGATTACCTCACCCTTTAAGCGCACACACACACACACACACAGAAACAGCTTTTTGCAAAAGCAGGAACTATTTAAATAAGCAAATACTAAGGAACTGATGCTTCGCTGAAATGCCATCCTCAGGAATAAAAGAATCTTAGCGTAGAAGGGTCTTACTTAATCTGTTTCAGTTCTTTCCTCTCTCCGTTTAAATACATCTCCAGTCAGGCTTTACTGCTGTACAACACAACCTCTTCCATATTTGGAACAGTTAATTTTTATTAGGATGGAGTTTAGCTCTTCAGTTTCCACCCTCAACCTCTGATTTCTTTTTTTAAAAGATTTTATTTATTCATTTGAGAGAGAGAGCACAAGCAGGGGGAGAGGCAGAGGGAGAGGGAGAAGCAGACTCTCTACTGAGCAGGGAGCCTGATGCGGGGCTCCATTCCAGGACTCTGGGATCATGACCTGAGCCGAAGGCAGATACTGAACCATCTGAGCAACCCAGGTGCCCCTCAACCTCTGATTTTTAGCAAAACATTTCTTCAGTTATTATATGCCATCTTTTCTAGAAACCAAGTCCTACTTTTTTTTTTAGACAGAGATTTTATTTATTTGAGAGAGAGGGAGCACCTTCATGCACATGCGCAAAGTGGGGAGGGGCAGAAGGAGAAGCAGACTCCCCACTGAGCAGGGAGCCTGATGTAGGGCTGGATTCCAGGACCCCGGGATCATGACCTGAGCTGAAGTCAGATGCTTAACTGCCTGAGCCACCCAGGCGCCCCAAGTCCCACTTTTTTATATGAATGCTGCCCAGAACTGAAAATACTAAAGTTAATCTAACTAGATTAGAGAATTTTAAAAGTTGCCTTTTTTGCTCTAGATTCTAGATGCTGTACTTGTGTTCTTGGCAGGCAAGGCACGCAGCTGATTCATGTGGGAATCTGCTCATGTCCCTAGATTTTTTTTTCCAGATAAACACCAAACTAGGGAAATTTCACCTTGTAATGTTATAACCTTTTACAAACTCATTTTAGTGACTGAATTGAGTGTACTTTGCATAAATTTATTCTTGACTTTATTAGACACAGGCTATTTTTTCCCATTATGGTGTAAATTCTACTACAGTAAGTATTTTTATGAATAACACTTACTCAGTTGAGGATTTCTTGATTTACTTTAGATTTCAAGAAGGTGAATGGCTGGAGAAAAATGTAATAGATTTTTAAGGTTCTTGATTTAAATTGATAATTGGCACTTTCCAGGTAGGTTTACCAATGTAACTTTTTACTGTTTCACTAGGTAACTTTATTTGGAAAATAAGGTGTTTTTTTGATAACTTGATTTTGTGATTTGTGTCCCTCACTTTCATTGAACATGGATTTTAGAAAGTGAAGCCTTTGAAGAGGCTTTGTGGGGAAAATACAGAGCAAGAAAATAAAAACTAAGAAAAGGTCAAATGTTTTAAAAACAGGTTCTTACATGAGGCTGTAGCTTTTTATTTATTTTTTTTGTTCATTTTTTTTTGCATGGGAACTCATTTAAAATTAAAGTTACTTGGGCACCTGGGTGGCTTAGTCATTAGGCGTCTACCTTCAGTCAGGTCATGATCCCAGGGTCCTGGGATGGAGTCTCGCATCGGGCTCCCTGCTCAGCGGGGAGCCTGCTTCTTCTTCCTCTTCCTCTGCTGCTCTCCCTGCTTGTTCTCTCGCTCTAATAAATAAAATCTTTTTTTTTTTTAAAGATTTTATTTATTTATTAGAGAGAGACACAGTGAGAGGAGCACAAGCAGGGGGAGTGGGAGAGGGAGAAGGAGGCTTCCCGCTGAGCAGGGAGCCTATGCGGGGCTCGATCCCAGGACCCTGGGATCATGACCTGAGCCGAAGGCAGACGCTTAACGACTGAGCCACCCAGGCGCCCCTCTAACAAAATCTTTTAAAAATAAAAAATAAAGTTACCAAGGCAGTTTCATATGTACATTTTTACTTCAAGCATGAACTTCTGAGACATCAGGAAAATTTGTAGATTACTGTGTAGGTTAGTGTTAGCAACTGTTGCTAAGCTCAAGAACATTCCTGTGTGTGTGCTGCCACACTGTGTCATTAATGGGAATTGCACCTTTATTTCACAGCTGCAGGCCAAATTTGAACACCTTAAAAGAGTTCACCAAGAAGAGAGAATGAAGCTTGAAGAGAAGAGAAGACTCTTGGAAGAAGAAATAATTGCTTTCTCAAAAAAGAAAGCTACCTCAGAGATATACCAGAACCAGTCCTACATGGCATCGGGCAGCAACCTGAAGAAGGACAAGGACCGTAAGAAGTAAGCTATTCCCAAAACCCCCACTCTGGTGGTCCCCTCCCCCATTACTTTCTGTTTCATTGCCCTCTTTGATCTTGTGCTTATCACAGTCTGTTTCCTTATTATCAGGCTCTGGCAACTAAAATGTCAGCTTCTTGAGAGCAGAGACCTGTTCCTCTTGTTCACTGCTAGCACGTATTAGGTGCTCGGCAAATATTTGCCAAAATGAGCAAATGAATGAATGAACAAAATATATCATAATGTAAAAAGGCTCATTTACCTGAGGGGAAAAATGGCTGCTCTTATTTCATTGTCCAGCCTGTGTTTCTAGCACACATCTAATAACTGCTGACCTACCGTTAGTTATGTTAAATTTCATGTCTAAATGGAAGCTATATACTTTGTTGGGGAATCATAGAAGTAAAATAATATTTGATAAGAAAAATTTAGTTCATTTTTTTAACAAATTCTACTGATGATGATTTTGTGAGAATTTTTATTTTAATAAGGGAACCAGGCTATCGATTCGAACTCCTGTGCTTTGATGTCAGAGCTTGTGAAACCAATGGTGGACGTAAAGATGCAGAGGAAGGTAGAGAGGGCCCCTGTACAATGGGGCGGCCATGAGTAGCATTTGGATGATAATCTCAAGACTTATAGGTTTGGGGTATGTGTTAAAATCAAAGTTACCAAAGTTTTAGAAAATAAGTTTTTTTTCCTTTTCTATACTTTATGTCCTTTATTTCTCCCACTTAAAATGTCCGTGTCCTTTTGCCTATTTGACTGTTCTTGAAATTCATCACTGACTTGTTTTGTTGAGTGCTTCTTGGTGACTCTTTGCCTTAGTTTACTCCAGCTACCTCTGTTTTGGCAGCATCTAGCTCTCCTTTTGTTCCTCACAGAGCAACATTTCTGGTTTAATTTTATCATCACATCTTATTTCAAACCCAGCATTTTCAGAATACTATAATTTAACTTAAAAATAATTAGGAAAACATGATGTTGGCCCATGGCAGCTTTCCAATTTTGAACTATGGAGAAGTAAATCCACAGAGTTTGGGTGGGTTCAACTGACCTGTGGATTTAATGGTTTGTGGGGAGAAGAAAAGGAATGAATTCTCACATCTGATCTTTCAATATAAGTTCTACATGGGCATGGATCTTGTTTTGTTCATTGATGCATCCATCCCCAGAGCCTAGAACAGTGCCTGCTATATAGTGGACATGCAATTATTTGTCAAAAGAATGAATATGACTTTTAATAGTTATGTTTTATTCAATCATTGAATTTCAAATGATAAACTATAGTTTATGACTGCTTTAAGATATGCTTTGAATTATAAAGCTAAGGGACCTTTTACCTGTTCTTATCCTTTCACCTCAATCCAGTGTTACTAAAATTGGATTCCCCAAGTTTCTTCCATATATGAAAGTTTCTTCCATGTATTACATTTGCTTTGTAAAAATTGTTGCCCTGCTCCACTTAAAGACCACTGTTAGCATGTGCTCTTGTTTATAAAGTTGGGGCCAAGCCCATAGTTTTTTTGAGAGCTCAAAAGAATTCATATTCAAGAAAATGGAGTTTGATTTTTTTTTTTTATTTTCCAAAGATATCTATAGTATATTAGATGTATATTTGCTCTTTCTGTAAAAGTTTACCTTGTAAAACTAATGATTCTAGTAATTTTTATTTCCTATGTAGTTTTTTTTTATTGTACCAATCAAAAGGTTTTTTCTTCTCTTTCCAGCTCCAATTTTATGTAAAACAAAGGTTCCAGATCACAGAAGGTCATCACAAGCAAAAATTATTAAAATGTTAGAAGTATACTTTGATTTTCTTGCTGTTTTTATTTGCTGTATCATTTATTCTATATCTGGCAAATGGCTGTAGTTACTGCCATTTATGGAAAAATATTTTTAAGTATAAGGTTAATACATAAGCCACAGTGGATGATACCACTTTTATATTCACTGTTGTTAGAAGTTTTCAAGTTGCTGGTTTGTGATGAATCTAAATCATTTCTCCTGTTGCTCAGTTATTGTCACTTACATGCATTGTACCACAGAGCAAAGTGTCAATGCCATTGAAAATACAGAAGTCATTCATTATATGGCTATCTGATTGCATTTATATTCCAAGATGAACTCCTTTTTTGTACATACTAAAGGTAAATTTTGGGAAATATGTTTTAAAATGTATTATGTACCTGAAGGTCTAACCTCTTAATAGTTTCATAGAACCTTTTTTTAGTTTTTGATACCATTATCCAATTGGTAACATGATCCTAAGCTTTTGTATCAAATTATGTAACAGGGCCTTCCACAATTCAGTGTGCCTTATTGTGGTTGATGTATTGTTGTGATGAAACAAGATGTGTGTAAAAGTAAAAACATCTAGGTATAAATCATCTAGTGATGAGTACCTTTGAACCTGAGGTATTGCCACTCTATTTCATTAGAATGTTTTACATACTTGTTGTTTAAAACTCTGTTTTCCAGGGGAAAAATCATAAGGTAGAATCATCTTATTAAAAATATTTCTTAAGAAAGTAACTGTGAGCAACTGAATATTAAAGATGAAAATTTAGATAATCCATATATTAAGGGATATTTGAATTCAGTGCCTTTGTAGCATTCTTAGAACAATTTAATGCCTTCTAATTTTTTCTTAACAGTCATTGGTATATAAATTTTCATTTTTTGTACTTGAATACCCTAAATAAAATTGACACTTACTCTTGACAAATAACATATACATCTATATATTTACTCAAATGTGGTTAAATAACTTTTCTTTTTGCAAACTGTCATCTTAAACATTTTATCAAAATTCGTTCATTTAATCATGTGTTTGAATTATTTTAAGACAGGTATATATTACCCATATTTTTCAGAAAACAAAATGTTTTACTTAGCGTATGTCAGATTCTGAGCAGTGTATTTTTTCATGAAGTTGTGTAAGTTGCAAATAAAACCTTTCATTTCATAGTACAATTTATCTGGACAAACACTTTAAATTCCAGTTTTACATTTGAAATTCACAAATATCTCTTAGCCTTTTAAAACTTTAGTAAAGTAAGTTATAAATATCACAGAAAAAGCTCTGAACTTTCTTCTCAGGATCAGGAATGCCCAAGTTCTGGAAGGTGGGAGCAGGAGAGCCCGTGAGTCCATGAGGGCAGGTAGCCTGTCGTACAGAGCCCAGCCACTGCCACAGCACTGAGCGTTAGCCGAGGAGAGTGTCATCCCAGAAGCTCAATTATGTGATGTGAATGGTGGCTAGCTGTAGATTTATTATATCAAATTGTGTATTAAACAGCTATCCTCAACTTTAATAAAGTTACTTTTAAATGCCAGATTGGTCATTGGCATGTTAAAACAAAGTTATTCAGTTCTCTAGTTGAAGAGATTATGGAAACCTGCCCAAACTCAGAACTTAGCAGAGGGGTAATCATTTTGTGCTGCTAGTGACTCTGTTTTGAGAAAGACTCAGCACATGCGCTTCATTCACAATGTGATGTTACATATTTGGGATTCCAGGTAAGATTTTATTTTAAAAGAGTTATCCTGCAAAGAACAAAATTTTTAGAACAATTAACAACATTCAGATTCTCCTTACAAAGCTGATATATTTTTCACTATTCAGGCACAAGGTGACAAAGTAAGTTATGATCTCCTGATACTTAAATTTCCTGGGAACAAAATAAAGCTAGACATGTTTTGTTTAAATTTTTTTTCCATAAAGCATGTGAAATAGTTACCACTCGCTACCTACCATTAATCTTTACATACTTATCTGATTTTTCAAGCTCTTTCACATAGACTGTGATTTCAGCTTCAGAACAACACAAAGGGAAACAAATGCATTATGGGGAGTATAATCCCCTTTTGGAGGATGATCTCAATTTAGGCCCCATTTTCCTATTGGGCTAGGAAATGGGGATATGCATGGTTAAGGCTAGCCCTGCCCTCATGGAGCAACCAGAACAGTAACAAGAGAGCAGATTTATGCACAGAGTACTCTCAGAAGGGCTTTGGCCTCCACCCACAGAGCACAAGAAAGCATCCAGGGAAGTGACTAGGTCTTGAAGGATTAGAAGCAGTTTTTCAGATACACAAATGGAGAATGGCAATCCAGGTACAAGGAATAACATGTTTTTGATAAAATCTGGGTACTCTAGAAAATCACTAACTATGAGTAGAGATTATAGGGCAGATGTGGGACATAAGTAAGGATGAGATTTTAGAATTAGGTAGGGGACAGATCAAGAAAGAGCTTATAAACCTAATCCAGTAGGCAGTAGGAGCCATGGAAAGATTTGACCTCACCTGGTCAGATACTCCTCCAGGGTTCACAGGAAAGATGTACTGGAGGAGCTGGGACTGGCCCGGGCTGGCTGACTCAGTAGAGAGACTGGAGTCCAGGCAAGCAGTTCTTAATACAGCGTGCAGTAGAATAAATAAGTAGTGTTTAAAAAAATACAGATGCAGAAAGGTAAATATGGTAATGGAAATGGTAACCATCTGGATAAATCAAAATGAATAATGGCTGCAAAACAATGTCTTGTGGAGATGGAAATACAGAGAGAACTAAAATATAAGACTAGAGTGGCATATAAATTGGGGGAGGGGGATAAATTGAGTAATCTAAAGTTCTTGCATTAACTGAGAGTCCCAGTCAGCTCATAACATGAGACTTGGAGTGCACGTAGACATTGTAAATTGTGTGACTTTCAAGTCAGTAGAAGAAACACTAGTCCACTAAATGATCATTGAAAAGCAAACAAAGGAAATAAAACAGGTATGACAACCAGAAAGCATTTAGTAATATGGTAGATTTAGACCCAAATAAGTAAATAATTACATGGATTATATGCTGTAATTTTTTTTAGGTGAAAATCTTTAAAAATCAGCTGTGAGCGTTTGACAAGAGAAGTCTGAAACTTTCTCTGTCTTCATAGACAAAAGATAGGAAAAGGTACATCATGCAGACTCCAGCCAAAAGCTAATGTGTACCTGTATTTTCTATGTATTAAAAAAACTTTAAGGCAAAAGCATTGTTAGACATGGAGATAGATTTCTCGAGTACGAGAATATGTAAAAATTCCAAATTTGTATGTACGTAACAGCCTTAGCGTATTTAAAGCAAAAATGATGAGAATACATGGAGAAGTATGCAAATCCACACTCGGTGGGAGATTTTCACACACCTTTTGTGTATGATAGACTAAGCAGACCAATATTGGTACAGATATGGGAGCCTTGAAGAAAACATTCAGCCACATTGGCCTGGTGAACAATTACAGAGCAGTGTATCCCAAATCACAGAACACACACTGCTTTCAGGCCCACCAGGAACATTTATGAAAACTGACTAGGACATTTGACTACAAAGTGAGCCTGAGTACTTCTAAAGGAGTTACATCATGTAGACTGTGTTCCCTGATCACATTATAATTAAGAGAAATCAGTAATAACAAAAATGCTCATGTTTGGAAACTAATAAATACACTTGTAAGTAACCCATTCGTCAGAGAAGAAATCAAAAAGGAAATTAGAAAAATATCTTGAGCTGAATGATAATGAAAATATTATACATCATAACTTGTGAGAAGCAGCTAAAGCCATTCTTAGAGTCAAAATTTATAATCCTAAAGGCTAGTATTAGGAGGGGAAAAGGCTGAAGACCAGTGCTATACACATTCATCTCAAGAAGTTAGGAAAAAAATAGTAAACTAAACCCAAAGCAAACAATAAAGATGAAAACAGGATTTCAGGAATTAATGAAATAGGAAAAAAAATCAAAAGTTCTTAAAGATTATTAAAATTGATAAACCATGGGAAGAATGACCAAGAAGAAAGGAAAGAGGCATAGAATGGCTAAAGTTGAAAACAACAACAAACCTGACAAAAAAAAAGGGGGGGGTTGTTGTGGAATGATGACCATTGCTGGTGGGAATGCAAAATGGTTCAGCCATTTCAGGAAGTCTGGCAGTTTCCTGTTCCCTCACTGTATGTGTTAGTTTTCTACAGCTGCTATAACAAATTGCCACATACTTAGTGGCTTGAAAAACAGTATTACAGTTTTGGAGGCCAGAAGGCTGACATGGGTCTCATGTGGCTAAAATCAAGGTGTGGCCAGGGTTGTGTGCCTTCTGAAAGCCCTAGGGGAGAATCCTCTTTTTCTGCTTCTAGAAGCTGTCCACATTCCTTGACTCATGATTGCTTCCGCCATCTTCACAGTCAGCAGTGGTGAGTTGAATCCTTCTCACATGGCCTCAGTCTGACCTTTTCCTCTTGCCTCCCTCTTCCAGCTTTCAGAGACCCTGGTGATTGCATGGGGCCCACTAGCAACATCTCTCTATCTGCTGGCTAGCAACCTTAGTTTCCCTTTGCCATGTAACCTAACCTTCAAACGTTCCAGAGATTGAGATCTAGGGGGACATGGGTCTGTCATGTTGTACAAGCCAGCAATTCCAGTCCTAAAAAATGTATTCAAGATAAATGAAAATGTTTGTTCATACAAAGACCTGTACTGAAATGTTAATTGCAGCTTTTTCCATAATCTGCCAAACTGGTAACAACCCAAATGTCCATCAACTGATGAGTGTATAAACAAGCTACACTGATACATGTAGACATGTGAATAAATCCAAAAGTATTATGCTAAGCCAAACACAAATGGCTCTGTGACTCCATTTATGTGACATTTTTGTCAAAGCAAAACTGTAGGGACAGAAATAAGCTGTGGTTGGTTACCAGGCCTGCTGAGGCAGGGGGTGGGGGATGTGTGGATTGACTTCAAAGGCACACAAGGAAACCTCTTGGAGTGGTGGAAGACGTTCATATACCTCAAATAAGCCTGATATTTTTTCTTAAAAAGTAAAAAAAAGGCAGAAACAATGGGAATGAAAAAAGAAAATGTCACTCTACAGATCCTGTTAGACATTAAGATGTCATAAATAAAATTGAAAGTACAGAAGAAATGATAAATTCATTTAAAAAATAACTTACTGATAAAAAATTAATAGAAAGTCTCATAATAATAGATAATCCATAATTAAGCTCCTCAAAGTTTAGGCCGAGATAGCTTCACCCAAGAATCCTACCAGGTGTGTAAGGAGCAGAGTGTTCTTTCACTCCTCTCCCTGGGGTAGGTAGTGGCAGCGCTTGCCTCTCCTGGACCACTGAGGATGTCTGTGCCCTAATGCCCCGAACCTGGGAAGCTGAACCCTACCTGGCAAAAAAAGACTGTAGTTGTAAGTGAGCTCTAGCCTGGAGGTGGGAAGATGGGCCTGGATTGTCAGGGTGGGCACAGTCTAATCACTTAGTTCCTTAGACCTGAGAGCCTTTCCTGGCTGTAGTCAGAGGGAGGCTCAGAGGGACGGACCATTGTTGGCTCTGATGACAGAGGAAGAGGCCACAGCCAGGAACGCAGGGGCCTCCAGAAGCTGGAAAAGGCAAGGAACTGATTCTCCGCTGGAGCCTCCAG